GAAAATATTGCTGAAAATACAGAGAGAAGAAAAGCTTAAATACATTTAAATAAACTGCTGAAAATACAGAAATGGCAGAAGTTGAGATGAATTTTTTAAAAACAATTTAAAAATTAATTTAAGAAAAAAATGGTAACATTAGTTGTAGTATAAATTGTAATTGTTGTACTGGTATCGCTAGCAGTAGAAGAAGTAGTTTTAGTATCAAGAGCAGTAGAAAACATAGTAGAAGTAGTAATGTTAGCGGTAGTACTAATATCATTACTATAGCTGTAGTTCTAATACTGCCCCTCCCTGTTCCCCTGTTCTCCTACTTAAATACATTGCCATGTTTGTGCCCTTCACACAGTTAAAATACAGAGACTTTTTATCAGCTTCATATAGTGTCAACGCTTCTGGGTCTGTCGAAACGAGCAGCGGGCCGGTGAGCTCCCATTTAACTTTAAAACATTAGAATCAAATAAAAACAGCCCTATCTAGCCCCAGATACAGAACGTCTGAAATTACAGCTGGCCACGTCCCTCCGTACTAAACCATCCGGACCTGTGGGATATTTCTGTATAAACTGGAGTCTAAAAGTGGCTGTCTGGCTAGCTAGGTGCGCGAGGGCCTGTCATCCCTCCCCCCTGGCTAAAAAACACCCCCATTTTTCTTTTTTTGTGGGCCAGTAGGCCCGTGGAAGGGTCTAAACAGGTGAGACGGTGCTACAGCTGGAGTGCTATCTGGTTGTTTAAAACCAGTTCTCTACTTTTAAAAGACATTTGAGGGGGCAGCCATTTCTACTTGGAAAGGTTTCCCTCAGTTCTTTCTGTAACGCCCTCAAAGCACCTCCGGACTGTGTTCTCTTGTCTGAGATGTATTCCCAAGTACTTAAAACCATCCTTCCTCAACACTAAGTTCTGGAGAAAAAGCCCCCAGCTCGCCTTCTAATCTGGCATGGTTCCACAACCAGCTGCCCTCCATCACCCAACAGTGAGTAGTTCATCCTCCCCTGCCACTCTTCCAATCCATCAGTAATAGCAGTAGAAATACTAGTATGAGTGATAATAATAGTAGTACTTGTAGTAGTACTACTAGTTAGTAATACTAGTAGTTCTTAAAGTATTAATGGCAGCATAAATACTAGTAGTACTTTTTATAGTAGTAAGAGTAGTGCCACTACTACTGGTAGTAATAGTAAGTTATTTTAGTATTAATAGCAGTGAAATACCAGTAGTAGCAGTAGTGTTAGTAATGGTAGTAGAAGCATCAGTTGTAGTAGTACTACAAATAGTACTAGTATAATTAGTAATAGTATTTGAACAAAACAGCTTCATTCTGGGGAGGGGGGATAAGATGGTTGAAGGGGTGGATTGAAGCGATTTGGGGGGGGGGTCTGAGGGAAAGAAGAAGGGTTAAAAGAAGGGGGGGTTTAGGGATGGGAGAGGGGGCAGGAAAGGGGGGGGGGATTCTGTGAGAGGGGGATTTAGAAGGACATTTTGGAGGGGGGCAGGGGTGGGGGTTACATAAGATTTTTATATAAGATAGTTAAGGGGGTGGATAGAAAGGATTTGGGGAGGGGCAGAAGTGAATAGGGAGGGCGGGGGGCGGGGCTTATTTGGGGGGGGGGTACATAAGATGGCTGGAGGGCACCATGACACGACACAAAGGCTAAGCTTTGGAATGCATCGCTGCCAAAGGACAAATCCGGCTTCTGGCCTCAGTTGTGTGAATCACCAGAACGAAATGCCTAGGTGAGCTTCCACCCCCTTTTATAAGCTCTGCCCCTTAACCTGGGTTATAATAGTGGGCCGACCTTTTACCTGCCTTGCCACATCTGTAACCGCTACATCTGCGCTAGATATGGCAAAAATGAAATCGGCCAAAACTTGCTTACATTTGGCTGTATCGAGCCAGAATGAGTTTGCAGACTCTCAGCCCCAATCTGGCCGAGTCTACTGGCCACCAGGGATCATGGATCAGTTTGAGTATATTCGAATACTGGAAGAAGTCATGTTGCCGTATGCCGAAGAAGAAATTCCCTTGAAATGGGTGTTTCAACAAGACAATGACCCCAAACACACCAGCAAGCGAGCAAAATCAAGGTTCCAGACAAACGGAATTCAAGTAATGGAGTGGCCAGCACAATCCCTGGACCTTAATCCCATAGAAAACTTGTGGGCTGACATAAATGCTGTTCATTAGGCCAAACCTAGAAATGCAGTGGAATTGAGGAACGTAGTACAATTGTCCTGGGCTGCGACACCTGTTGACCGGTGCCAGAAGTTGGTTGACTCCATGTGCCACAGATGTGAAGCAGTTATCAGAAACTGTGGTTATGCAACTAGATATTAGTTTATGAAGTTGAATCTTTGAGCATTTCTTAGTTTATACAGTACATTTTGAGTTTGTAAAGAAGTCAACATTGCTATTTTTTAAAATATCATATTTCATGACTTTCTGTAAAATATCAAATTCAATTACTTTTTCCAATTTTCTTGCTTTGAAATAGAATGTGCAGTGTCCCCAGTGCATTTGAGTTCATTAAAATACTTAAATTTATTTGAAGAATTTTGAGGTTTACTCATCGTTTTAAACACACTACTATTATTATGAACATAACTGTACTTTTTAGAGGCATTGAATGATGCAACCAACCCCGCCAATGGTTATCTCCTCATAGATCATAAAGCCATGACACCCGAACGTTTAAGACTCAGAACGGCTTTGCTTTTAGAACAACATGTGGCGTATTTTCCTAAAAAAGACAAAAAGGTAATAACACAAAATGTCATCACGCATGCAGAGGAATTTGGCTCTGTTGGAATTGATATAAATCTTCACCTAGAGTGAGGAGGGACATTGTGACGCAGACTTCATTAACCCACTGTGTGAGATCGCCCTCAGGTAAAATTGACAAACAGTACATACTCTTAAAGTAAAGTAAAGCCGGGATGGGGAATGTTTTATTGATATTGTCAATGTCTGCTGTATGCCAACTGCACTGTACGTGAACTTTTTCACACCCTGTATTGTGCAGCTGCCGCAGTCATCAGAGAGAATTTATCTTTTGAACATATACATTTCAGAGAAATAACACCATTAAGCATTAGTTTTTCTTAAATAAAAAAAAATATTATTATTAGTCACTTGGAGCATTTGGAAGTTCCCAAATCTACTGTTCAAATAATATGTTTGTAGGTATAAATGCATGAGAATAGTTGTGTCACACTGCCTCGATCAGGAAGAAAGCTATTGGCTGCAAACGGTAACACTTTACTTAGAATGGGGTGTTCATAAGACTGACATAACATTGTCATAACCATGACATGACAGCTGTCATAAATATCAATGAATACTTATGACAGTTGTCGTTAAGTGTCATTTGGTAAGTTAAGTCACTTTTGATGCAAAAGTGACTTTGTTTGAGATGCCCTTGTTCTGACAACTTGACATAAACCAAGATAACAAAATCATAAACATGTCATAGCAGACCTAACTGTCAAACTGAAAAACGTTTGGCTTCATATCTTAGAGCGACATTAAACCGTCATCTATGGATGGGTTTGACATTCGCTGTCACAAAACCATTACAAATGTCCTTTTCATTAAGATGTTAAGTGTAACTACACTACTAAATAACTTTATAACTGTCACATTTCCCTTCTACGGTGATTTATTGATTTTAATTTTTCATTAATATATCATGCGCAATTACATAGTCAAACCAGTTTATAACAATGTCACGAATTTCCCTGTAGACACACGCGGGGGCGCTGTTCTGTCTAGTTGATGGAGCATCGAGCGGCAAGAAGAAGACTGACGTACCGACTTTTAAAAAAAGCGCGGGCGCGGATCTGATCAGAGACGTTGTTGATGCAATGGCACTGATGGAAGAACTTTTAAAACATATATTAGGCGTTCAAATACACATAAGAGCAGAAGGAAACTTGTGAAATGGATGCAGAAACATGGTATCCTGACGATGACGACGACGACGACGACGACGAAGTGCGCAAAATGCGTTTGGGATGAGTTGCAGGGATGTTTCCCTTACTGATCCCAGAGTACAGAGCATTACAGTACGCTAAGAGATAAAAGCTTGGACAACCTTGTCTACATGTCAGCCTTTTTTACTTTTTTGCTTCTTCAGGGTCTGTAAGCATCATAAAGGTTCATGCACAGGTACAGTATTAATATATCAAATGTAGTTTTTTTCCATTACATGTCTAAATAACACATTTAGCAGTGTTTTATGTGTAATTCGTGTAGCATCGTTATATTAGGAATTCCGTTCCACCAGCCCCTCCAATTTTATTTGAGCTATTCATGTCTTAAAATGATTAAAGATCCTTGCTTGTGTCACTTTGCATGAACATCACAACAAAATATTTTGTGTTGAAATACATAAAGGAAACACTATCTCTTGACTTGTCTGTTGCTTTTGTTAAGGTATTTATATCATCAGACAGTGTAATAACACTTATTGACATTTTAACAAAACATTAAAATTGTTCCACTTTACTTGAATTCAAAGAAACCGTTTATAACTGGTTTGACTATGTAATTGCGCATGATATATTAATGAAAAGTTTAAATCATTAAATCACTGTAGGAGGGAAATGTGAGTTATAAAGTAAATTAGTAGTGTAGTTACACTTAACATCTTAATGAAAAGGACATCTGTAATGGTTTTGTGACAGCGAATGTCAAAACCATCCATAGATGACAGTTTAATGTCGCTCTAAGATATGAAGCCAAACTTTTTTCAGTTTGAGTTAGGTCTGCTATGACGTTTATGATTTTGTTATCTTGGTTTATGTCAAGTTGTCAGAACAAGGACACCTTTGCATCAAAAGTGACATAACTTACCGAACGACACTTAACTGTCATAAGTATTCATTGATATTTATGACAGCTGTCATGTCAGTCTTATGAACACCCATTCAAGGAAAGCGTTACCGAACAGGATAGTATATACTTTTCTTTACATTATTTTAAGAAAAACTTTCCCACTGGTGTCACATTTAAGATTTTATTCAAAAAGACAAGTTATCGTAACCATTCATTCTCAATGCAGTAAAATAAAAATATGGTTCAATCGGTTACTGCCTCATTCCTTGTTGTATGTCATACATGCTGTAATACTCAGCCAGTCATGTTGGTAATGTAATGTGTCAGAATCCCATTAGTCAGTGGTTTATGGCAGAAACACTACATCCTACTGGAGGGGAATGACACAGCTGCACTATCAGGACCTTTCAAGATCAAACACCTCTTCCTCCAGTTAACCTTCTCAAATCAGAAGCTCTCATTCTCCATTGCGCAATGCAACATTCACAAATTAACTAGGGTCCGTTGTATTCATAAATGTCTAAAGAGTCCATAAGTCATCTATTCTACATGAATGATTTAAAAGAGGGATGGAGAGAAACTGAAGATGGATTTTCTCAAAGATGTAAGACTTGCATTCATTAAATCTAGAAAACAAAAATGAAAGCATGACCGCATCTTAACACAGATTGTTAACTATAACTTTCCACTTAAAAGTTGTTGTAGGTGAGCTATGTAAACCAAATAGCTGTACAGAAGCAGGACTCCCTGGTGTACAAGCTTCAGATGACTGAGCAAAGAACATGAAACCTACATGGTATGTTGCACACAAAAAATAAACTTTACCTCAGAATGTAAATGGACAGCTTTGTAAAAAGAAACATACATTACAATTAAATGACTGACAGGACAGCATAGGACACAAGAGAATACGTTAGACATCTTTTTACTAAAGAATTTTACTGCCAAAACACAGTAGAATAATATATTACGAGTAAGATTCAGCTCGTCACTCATGACTTCCTCCCTCCCCACCCAGTCCACTGCTGAGCCAGTACGTCTTCAGATGTCATGGAACCCCAGTGACGATTGCAGAGATCTACTGCTGGCCTTCTTTCTTCTCTCCCTCTGAGCTGCTGCTGCCGCTGCTGCTGCTGCTGCTGCCGCCTCCATCGCGCTCTGCCGCCATCTGCAGAAAGGAAGGGATGGTTGGTGTTATTGACGGGTTGTCCTCCATTGACTGAGCACTTTCTAGTCATATAGGTCAGTAACAGCTATGTCATTTACTACACAATTAGTTTAATTGGCACATTTATTAGACCTAAAAAAATATTACACGTCAAATTAAACTATTTTTAAAGATGTAGAAATAATTTAACATTGACAAAATGTTCCCAGTTAGACCAAACACTTTACTTTAACCTAACTATTTGATGTTATAACTTAATCATATGTTTAATAAACCAAAATATTAGTTCACTATGACAAACACTCATAAATTAGAACGGCAAGAAACAATGTATGAAGCTGTAAGGTTAATTATCACGTGTCATCTTTAGGAGCCATGTTCCTACCTTCTTGTAGGCCATTTCAAAGAGTTTAAGGGACGCCTGCTGCAGTGTGGTGGCTGCCTGTTTGATATTCTCTCCTGTTTCAGAGTCCTTGTTGGCCAGAAGATCCCGGACCTTTGAGATCTCCTCCTTCAGCTTGGTGCACTGGGAGTGGACACAACCAAGGAAAACGATGAATAAAGACTGGCCATGAGCTTAAGACAAACAGTACCAAATTGGTGGATCACACATTATAACAGTGGCAAGGTTCAAACAATTATTATACTATTTCCACTTCAGTCACTTTTAGAACACCTGATATTTAGGCCCCAAGCAGTAACACTCTTTATTTATCACTAATATCCAAAGTGCTGAAAGAAGATTTCCACCTGATCCTAGTTTATTATCAGCATAGGTACCCCACCCTCATCCCCCCTATAAAGTGTACAACAGCAGGTGTGCAAATACTTTGTGGCACACGCCTTCACATTTCACTCTTTGAAATGTTCTGGTTAACACGTCTATAGGCAAAGCGACACTCCAGAACTGAACCAACACTAAAGTCCTGGAGTCCCTCAGGAGTGCATTTTTCTCTGTACCGTAGCACACCGGCACTATAGTTTGACCACATGTTCCAGAGCGGAACGCTCATTGCTCACAAGTGGATGTGTTTGAAGTGAACAGAAGTCTATATTGGTTCTTTGTTAATAATATGCAAGTAATATAGTGGTTGTGTCAAATGACTCAATAAGGGATAATAATAATCGCACCCGACTGCATTGCACAAAGCTCGATGGTTCGCTCGCCCCGTGTCCCTTGCATTTATTATTTCCTTTGTTTTATTTAGATAAAGATATATTTGTTCACATTCCGATTCTAATGTCTAACTAGTCTGACAAATAAAACGTTCTTTGAAATAGCGTACTTTTATTACTATGCGATTATATTGTCATTATGTCATCAGTGGCATAAAATGGTCTGAAAATTGCAAGAATATCGCAATACAAATTTGATATTCCTTATTGAAAGGCAATTGTAACCCTCCTGTTAAGACATATTTGTGGCATAATTCAAACAAGATTCTAAATCATTCCAAGTATGCAATGGAAAAATATTATATATAAATAAATTATTTTGAATGCAATAATTATTAAAACACACACACACACACACACACACACACACAGAGAAGAAGAAGAAGAAGAAGAATTAAGTTTAACCTCATCAGCTGGAAGCTGTTCCTTGAACTCCTCCATCTTGGCTTCTGTGTCATGGACAATCCCCTCAGCCATGTTAACTGCCTCCACTCGGTCCTGCGCACATTCAATAGCTTGTAAGGGCACTAGTAGCTTAAAGCAGTGGTCCCCAACCTTTTTTACCTCAGGGACCATTTTCATGTCAGACAATATTTCGCGGGGGGGGGGGGGGGGGGGGGGTGAAGTAGTCGTTGCGGGCGGAACAACCAACGGAGGGGGGGGTAGTAGTCGCGCGCTGTGTTCGCTGGCCGTGCGAAAGGACAAGAAAAACGCCTGGTGACACATGGGAAATGTGTCAGAGGGATGGTGCGGCCCGGTATCGGTCCATGGCCCGGTGGTTGGGGACCACTGGCTTAAAGTACACAAGCCTAAAAAGATCAGTGAATCACAAAATTCTTCCACTGGTAGTACTGGTGTATCTTTTGGGACTGAATGATATTAACCTGGTGATGTAACGAGTGTGAGATTGACAATCCAAATGCTTGTTCAATGTCCTCTTGTCAAGTGGACTCTAGAGGTAAATATGGAACGATGATGGTTACGTCCCCTGACTTAAATATGTATTTTTAGAGAGCTCTCTGTGGGTTTCAGGCCTGCCACTCTTCTCCAGTCGCTGATCATCGTCGCACATCAGGCATTAACCAAAAATAACTCCATATTAACTCCTCCTTGGCCGTTCACAAGCCCATCTTTTCTGATTTGATGTGGGGGATGTCCTTATTTCATTAGTTTATTTTCTGCTAACCCAATCAATACATGTTAGTTACAAAAACAATTCTAGTTATCGTTTCATCTCTTTACCACAGATAAGCTAGTGCTTGCATATGTTAGGTTAGGCTGCAACAATGTAATCATGCACCTGCATAATGTAACCATGTACAAAAATGTTTGCAATCTGAATACCTGAGAAATTATGTGAACTCTCTAAAGAGTTAAACTACTTAAAATACATTGACCCATTATCTTTACCTTTCTTCTCATGTCCTCCTCTGCGTACTTCTCAGCATTTTTGATCATGTTCTCAATGTCATCTTTACTGAGACCCCCTGATGACTGGATCACAACTGAGCAGAGAGACAAGATGTTTAGACATTTAACGCGCAGTAGTTTGACCTTTAGATCTGCCTACAACCAATGAAAAAAAAGTCGAGACAAAAAAAGAAGAAGAAGTTTCATTAATACAACATGAAGCCAACAGTTATGTGTAGGTTTACTGAAATATTTTGTTGCCTTATCAACCAGTCTATAGACATTGGTGTATAGTCCTCAGTGACCATTGCTACATGTGGAAACATTAGTATTGAGAATTAATGTGTTCTTACTGAAGATTAGGTTCAGAAATCATATGAACAAAATGCCTGTCAATGTATCTTCACACTCACTCTGCTGTTCTCGGCCTGTCCCCTTGTCCTTGGCGGAGACGTGGACGATGCCATTGGCGTCGATATCAAAAGTGACCTCAACCTGGGGAACACCACGGGGAGCAGGGGGGATTCCCACCAAAGTGAACTGACCCAGCACCTTGTTGTCTGCTGCCATCTCTCTTTCTCCCTGACACACCTTGATCTCTACCTGAGTCTGTCCATCAGCTGCTGTGGAGAACACCTGCAGGAGAGGAGGCGGACCAAACCCGTCAACAGAAGTTCTTTCTTATACAAATCAGAGTCCATTGGGACACCCTGTAGTACCTGGCTCTTCTTGGTGGGAATTGTGGTATTCCTGTTGATGAGTTTGGTGAAGACTCCACCAAGGGTCTCAATACCCAGAGACAACGGTGTCACATCTAACAGCAGCACATCAGTGACATCCCCGGCCAAAACCCCGCCCTGGATGGCTGCTCCTATGGCAACGGCCTCATCGGGATTGACAGACTTGCTGGGAGCACGACCGAACAGATCCTGAACAGTTTGTTGGACCTGCAGAAACAAACGCCTTGTGTTATACTACAAAATTTACATCTCTGGCAAAATCTTGTAATCATGTTTCTATTTTAGGGATTGAGTTAATGTTAGCAGTATAATATCAGCTTTACTTTTAGATAAAGGTCGATCTTAGATTTACGTCCCCATTACTTTCAATCCAATCATTCACCAGCTATTTCACTGATTAGTCAGCTAAGTAAAACAAATGAATTTCTTGAAAATATAAAGTAACATATGATCAGTGAATTTATATATAGTGTTTTTTATTTATCTTGTATAATACACGAGTGGTCCCAAACTACCAACTATCCTTGACATTTTTTATAGCAGCTCGTTCCTGAATAATGTCCTCCTTGTTAAGCTAGGACCTCTGGGTCCGATGTCAGACTGTGATAAGTACCTTGGGCATTCGGCTCATGCCTCCAACCAGCAGCACCTCTCCGATATCACCCTTGGAAACCTCTGCATCCTGCATGGCCTTTTGACAGGGAGCCACAGTGCGTCGGATCAAATCCCCCACAATGCCTTCAAACTGAGAGCGAGTCAGCTTCATGTTGAGATGTTTGGGACCAGAAGCATCCATCGTCAGATAGGGAAGGTTGATGTCAGTCTGAAAAAGAAGAAACAATTTAATTTGAATTAACCGGTCAGCTTCCAGCTGATGCACATTGAAATCAAGGTAAAAAAATGAAGGCTCCTTTTTGCTGTCTCTCATTGGCTTCAAAGATTAAGTCGCAGCAGCCTACGAGTACTTTGCCTTAAAGATTAACGGTGATCCATTACACCACTAATATCTAGAACTCTCCTTAACATTACAAGCATAGCCCTCGCTTTTCTATCAGAAAATTCGCTATAATAACCAAATCAGAATATGCCGTTAACATGACATGTCTTGCATTACTGACATATTTAGAGTATTAGATTTCAGTGTTGGTGGTTAGGTGTACCTGCAGTGAAGAGGACAGCTCACACTTGGCCTTCTCAGCAGCCTCTCGGACTCGCTGAAGCCCCATGCTGTCTTTCATCAGATCGACCCCAGACTGAAGTGACAAAAACAAACTGAGTCAAAGACACTGAATTGGAGATCAAACGGCCAATGTTTAATTTTTAATCTAAATTATTACCTCTTTCTTAAATTCCTTGACAATATGTTGGAGTAGGTGTTGGTCAAAGTCCTCTCCCCCCAGGAAAGTGTCACCGTTGGTGGACTTCACCTCAAAAACTCCCTTCTGGATCTCCAGGACTGAGATATCAAACGTACCTCCACCCAGATCATACACAGCAATACTGAAAATAGAAATCCCAAGTACTTTCTATAACAACTGATACTACTGGTTTGTAATGAACACCAGCCTGTCCTTGTGAACCTTTCCTTACATTTTATCCTGGGTTTTGTCCAGGCCGTAGGCCAGAGCAGCGGCTGTTGGCTCGTTGATTACGCGCAGGACGTTCAGACCAGCGATCTGACCGGCATCTTTGGTCGCCTAAAGAAATCACATATATGTTCTGCTCTTCCTCCAAACATAGGTTTCGTCCACAATTCAAGAAAATGAATGTTATAGTGAATAGCAATGATCCAAGTTTATTGGACCTTAAGTAGAGATACTTTTTAAACTGTTCTTGTCTGATCGCTGTATTGCTCATTAAAATACTTTGGGTTGATAAATACGTGGTCATCAAGCTGTAATGCAAGAGGGCCATGAAGTGTGTACCTGTCTCTGGGAGTCGTTAAAGTAAGCTGGTACCGTGACCACAGCATTCTTCACTTTGGTTCCCAAGTAGTTCTCTGCAACACAAATACCAAACAAAGAACAGTAATGGCCACATATCTTTGATGAATAGCTAATATGTGATATCTATGCAGTGTTGTTTCAGTCATACCTGCTGTCTCCTTCATCTTGATCAGGACGAAGGCTCCAGCCTGGCTTGGAGAGTACATTTTCCCATGAACCTCAACCCACGCGTCACCGTTTGATGCACGCACAATCTTGAAGGGAACGTTCTTTCTGTGAATGAAAAAAAAAAAAAAAGATTCTTACAGGAGGCCGATGATTCTAGTTAATAGTGTAATTTTGTGCAAAACACTTTCATTACTTGACTGGTATATAGCGTGTATCGAAAATATTACTCCACCCCAGGAACGTATGGCTGTGGCCATTCAGTGCATCATAATTTAATTTATTATTCTCCAATTAAAATGTCATAACTGAAAAAGCCAAAGGCAGAAATATATTTGTCTCCAAAATAGCAGTTACTTAATGGATTCTTGATCATGTCCTGGTCACACATAAGTGGTTTCACCCTAGCATTCAAGGAGCACAAAACATTTTCTTTCGGTTTAAAAAGGTGTTAAAAAACGTCATAAGATAAACATCTGGGAGTCCGTCAACGTTTTATCGTCTGTTAGATCGTTTGAGAAAAAAAGATAATAGCAAAAGTATGCACATTTTTGTTGTCCGTTTTAGCGAGAAGCCAGCATGTTGACAACAATGATTCGGAGTGAAAGGACAAAAAGTTGTTTGGTTCTCATAGCTGATTGGCCCGGACCATAAAATGGTCTGAAAATTACAATATCATTTATCACATTCCTTTTGGTGCAACACACGCACACAACAAAAAATAGTTATCTGTGACAGCTCTCTACCTGGTGTCTTCATTTATCCAGATTTCTTCCCTCGGTATGCGCTTGCATCATAGACTGCATGCAAGAATGTAATTATTCTATTGCAGAGACTGTAATTTTGTAATATTCTTACTTTCCCAGCCAAAAGCATATTTCCCAGAACAAAAGTATGTCATTCAAAGATAAAATAAGCTAAAAAGTGTTTTTCCAAATATAAATTGAGAAAAAATGATTTCCGTTTAAACAATAAACAGACATCTCTGCCATTATTCCTAGGTTAGTGGGACTTCTTCCTTTAAGTTTGATTTAGGGCTGCAACAACGATCGATGAAATCGATAAAATTCAATTATTAAAAGTGGTGGCAAATTTCACTATAGATTTGTTGTGTTGCGAGATTATTGCCAAAATATGCAAAGGCAACGTAACATGGCACGGGATCACCACGTTGTCCTGTTTTGACTTGAGGAACGTAAGGAGCCTCCAGCAGGCAGCAAGCTAGCGTTAGCTCGCTAATGACAGCAGTAAAGCAGTTAGCGTCGCACATTTCTATTTAATCGCCTTTTTTGGATGATTAATTTTTCAATCTGTTGTCCTGTATATATTTTGTGCGTGGTCCCATATCGGTTATTGTTGACAAATATATTTGTATGTGTTGTACTTTTTAATGCTTTCATATACGGTGGTCTGGTGCGCTTGCGCATATACGGTAGTTGATGTTATGCCTGTAATGGGAGACACACGGGTGAACAATTAAACCAGCGCGGCTAACTAAGAAGCCTATAATGCATTTATTTACAAATGCCATTTTAAATTCATCTCATAGCACTTACTTTCTAGCTGTACTTAGATGTTGTGTATATATTTCCTTAACATGCACTACAAGGATAACATTTAATTAAATAAATAACGGGTGTGTGTGCAGGGAGTATAGAGAACTGACTAAGATTTTGTATTTTTCTTTACTTTTTATATATTATTATGTTCAAGGAGCAACCATAACCCTTTCTGAAGTATTTTTGCAATGTGAATTTGCAGTTCTTTTTAGAGTAGGGTTGGAAATTAAAGCTTTTTAATGAAAAAGAAATAGAAATCGACCGATTATCAAAATAATTGTTAGTTGCAGCCCAAGTTTGATTCATATCATGCATTGCAGGAAACTTACAGGTCCTTCTGGACCTCGGCATCATCGTAGCGACGTCCAATCAGTCTCTTTGTGGCATACAGCGTGTTTTGAGGGTTCGTGACCGACTGGCGTTTAGCGGGCATGCCCACCAGGCGCTCCCCCTCCGCTGTGAAAGCCACGACAGAAGGAGTCGTTCTGGCTCCTTCTGCATTCTCCAACACCTGTGAGGGAAAAAGAAAACCTTTAGTTGCATTCTACCTGGACTGGTGCACCATCTGACATCTTGAGTTTACTCCAAGGAATATGTCATATTGCCACTGATCTGTAGTTATTATTTATCTTTTAAAAGCAAAATGAGAACAAATGTCTCCAATTATCTTCTGCTCTTATAAGCTGGATCCGTATGGTCAAATTTGCTTAGGATGGTTCCAAACAGAGTGAAATGACTGGTAGTCAAGTGGTCGCCACGAACAGCTGTTCAAACAATTTAATGCTAACGAAAGGAGCTTCAATGCTTCCCTTAGCGTTCATGACCGATAAACGCAGATCATGTACTCCGGCTTCCTCCCACAGTCCAAAGACATGCTCTGGGGATCAGGTTAATTGGGGACTCTAAATTGCCCGTAGGTGTGTGAATGTGAGCGTGAATGGTTGTATGTCTCTGTGTAGCCCCGCGATTGGCTGGCGACCAGTCCAGGGTGTATCCCATCTCTCGCCCAAAGTTGGCTGGGATAGACACTAGCCCCCCGCGAGCGACCCTGTGACCAGGATAAGCTGTTTGACAATGGATGGAGAATAAAGAAATACTTTGAACTATCTTTAGTTCCTGCAAAATGGGCATACAACTAAAATTGAAGGCATAAATCTACGGCTGCACAGTATACCACAGTGTTTCCCACACAACGACTAATTAATCCATCCATCCATCCATCCATTGTCAAACCGCTTATCCTGCACACAGGGTCGCGGGGGGGCTGGAGTCCATCCCAGTCCACTGGGCGGAATCGAACCCAGGACCTTCTTGCTGTGAAGCAACAGTGCTAACCACCACGCCACCGTGCCGCCTTGACTAATTAATAGACAAACTAATTAAAAAAATAATTACTAACAACTAACTTTCGATTTCAAAACATTCAACTGTTGAAAAAAGCTCATGTGTTGACATACTGAACCTCCATGACAGACGGCTGATGAGTTTGTTCACCCTCACCTTGGCCTGCTTCCCCTCCATGACAGCAACACATGAGTTTGTGGTTCCCAGGTCAATTCCAATTACTGCGCCCTTGATGGCCTCCGACCTACAAACAGCAAAGACATACTTGTCAGGATTGGAATGAAATATTCGGAACTATGACTTAATCAGTGTATAACTGAAAGCAATATTTGTAGTGTTTTTGTGAGGCAGAAAAAACAGCCTATTAGGACACTAGCTGTGGTCTTTGCGTTTTTCGTTCTGAATGTAGGGATGCATTTTTAAACCTGCTGTTAAACCGGCCCCATCAATTTCAGATGAATTGATTAACAAGCAGAAAGGACAGTTCCCAGATCTGCATGGACTGTGTTCAGGAGGGGCCAGAGGGTTCCATAGGGGCCCCCAAACAAAAATAATGCTTTGGACTAAGATCTGATGATTTTGGTGAATTTGGGCAATTTGCATATGACAACAACCGTTGTCATATGCATAGGTGGAAGGGCCTTTGATGCATGCAGCTTTAATTATAATCATTATTTGAAATTTCTGATATTCTATTACTATCAGCATTATAGAAGTTTTATTCGAATGGATCAACATTCCAGGGCATTGATGTTTACCTTATAGAAAATTTGTATGTTAGATTTTATTCTCTGGCACTCAAACAACCGAGTAACTATGTGAAAAAAATAATTCCCCATGAATAATCACTTTTTACACAGTGAGGCTGTTTCGGTCGGAAAATGGCATACCCATGATAAAAAAAATTAAATTTAAGTTTAAATTAAGTTTAATTAAAAAATACATTAAAAGTTTTGTGCTACTACTTACGCATAGTCTCTTCGGGATAGAGCTCTGAGAGCATTTGGTGTAAAACCGCCTGTCCAACATACCTGTGTAGACAAATATTGTTACAATTAATTTTGACCAAAGAAAACATGCATGCAATTAATGTCAGCTTTTGTTCAATATTTTTTGTCAATCCTAGAATGAACTTAGTTAAGTTTCCATAACTTACATCCTAAAATAATATTAATTAAGAAGCATTACAACTGATACTGGTTACGAATATGGTCGCGTGGTGGTGGTGATGATGATGATCCATGATTAAATGCTGGTCTACTCGGCATGTTACAGAACACACACGCTTTTGCAGGTCTTCCCACTTACAAAGCATGTAGGAGTCGGCCCTTTTTATCATATTCAACTGGAGTGACTGAATCTAAAACAAAAATCCAGAAAATCACGTAGGATTTAAAAATATATATTTTGCAGTTTATTTGCATGACATAAGTAAATATTTGGTACAGAAACCTTTGTTTGCATTTACAGACAGGTTAGCTCAGTGAACAGTACTCATTGTGGGGAGGGGACACATCATTGAAGGTCACTGGTCCCCACTTTGGAACAGGGAGCCAATTTAATACAGATGCTTACTTAAAACAGAATGACAAGGAGAATAAAATAGTTAACCTTGACAACCCACACATTACATAGTGTGACCAGATCACGTTAGATAATTGACAGGTTAGACATCAAGCTGTTACCGGCTGATTGCAGGCTTATACTTTAGCCTCAATGTAAGTGAAGTAGAAAAGGAGAGACAGCGGTAACGTTGTTTGACATCCCTTAATAGTATGTGTAGTATACCAATTGGATAACCTCTAAGAAGCCAACTGCATTGCATTTTAACATTAATAACATTAGTCACAGCCAATGTTGGCGTCTAGCTAACACTGTTAGCATGCTAAGCTAGCCGGGTGCTTGGCCAATGTTAGTACTATGGTCAATATAAGCATACTTACTAATATATTAGTATTTCTTAAAACTCACCTTAACGATAGAGGACACATTTCTTGCAATGTTCCTTGTCGGGAGAGTCCTTGAAACGCATGTTGCGGCAGTCAACATTTTGTCAACTTGGCTAACAGGGCAACTAAATTGAATATAACGACAGCGTTCGCCGGAGTCCCTGGAACGTTGAACAGTAAACAGCTTAAATATGTATCTTCAGCTACAGTCTTTTGGTTTCCACACGGCGTATACAGGGTAGTGCAGACAGCGAAGCTGAAGTCCAACAAAGCTACAGCGGTAAAGGAACTGCGAAGCTTCTAGAAAAAATTATTCAACACATGTTGCACCATGCACCGCTGAAGGACCCCGACTTTGGTTGCATAACTACTGCCTGAATGGGTTTTAAAATGTTAATGAAATGTTTGAGAACTGTTTATTAGATAAATGCAAACATGTTATTAAATATATGATCACCGTAAAATAGTGCATATGTTTGACGTAGAAACCAAATAATTGACTGCTAATATCGCGTTTTTGTGATCATGGAACAGTACAAGGCAGATGACGTTTTACCAAGTAGACATGTGAAGGTCATGACGCAACCATAACGAGGGGTATGGGGTTGTCACGTGTATAACATCAGGTGCGCTAAAGCAGAGGTCCCTAACCACCTGCCGCGGATCGGTACCGGTCCGTGGGCCATTTGTTCTCAGGCCTTTTTTTTTATTGTTTATTCTGAAAATGTACTGGATTGAGAAAGGGCCATTGTCTAATATGTTAAAACTACTGTTAAAGGCTAGTTTATGCTTCTGCGTTTTCAGAGCGACGCAGATGCAAGACCCCCTTGCGTGTCCCTTGCGTCGCTTTTCTTGCGTCCTTGCGTGCGTCAACCCATTTTTCTAGGCTTGCGTTGCTTTTGACGCAAGCGACGCAAGCCTCCCGCAGCGCACAAGGCTGCGATTGGTCTGCTAACTACGCTACATCCTTTACGGAGTCTCACATTTCCGTTTTCATAGCACGATACCGCTATTATTTTAAAACGAAGACTGTTTACGAGAGGACGGATCAGAAGAAATGTATAAATATGACCACTTCTACATGTCGTCATTGGCGGACTAAAAGGATGCGTGGATGGCCTCTGATTCATGGAGGGAGATCTCCGCATATATATTTTATCCAACTAACAAATCATACCCCCAGTGTTCTGTATTTTCTGTGAACTTGGTGTTAAAACAGTGTCAAAATGTAAAATAAAGTCAGTATAAAGTGCTTGTGGACTGATTCTGCTTTTGCGCTACAACACTTAACCAGGGGACTGGTTCTGATTGCTGCCCCAAATACACAAAAGCTTTTTCTCAATACCTAGAACACCGAGAACGGACGTGCGTCCTCTGCAGAGTGAATTGCGTAGTCTGCGCTCCCAGGTAAGAGAGAACGGAGAATGGTTATTTCCATAATTGGAACATTGTCATGGCAGGGGTCGTCGTGGCGCAGGTGTTAGAGAAGGTGTGCTGGGAAGCACAAGATTGGTGGTTCAAGTCCGGGCTGCCCCATGTTCCATGTTGAAGTGTCCCTGAGCAAGACACCTAACCCCTATTTGCTCCACAGGCAAAAATGTGAAAAAGCCATGGGTTTAAAGTGTAATGTAAGTTGCTTTGGATAAAAGCGTCTGCTAAATGACCTGTAATGTAATGGAACAGCAGTTGACTTGAAAAGGTCATCACAACTTGCTTGTCTTGTCATTGAATTTAATACAGTTCTTGACTGTTAACTATTTTTACTATCAAGCTTTTTAAAATTATTATTATTATTTTTTAAATGCTATAAATTGGCCTTCACAGTTCGAATTCAAATCCAGCCTTCATCGGCCTTGTGAGAGCCAAATATCCCAGAATGCATTTCACCAACAGGCAACAATGGCAGAGGAAAATAAACACAACTCTAGAATTTGACAAATTCTACTATATTAAGGTCACAGAAGGTCATTTCAGGTGAGACGTTAGTTGTTTACGCATCATTTCTGCAGTTGGTTTGTCAACTCTTAACAATTAGCTCCGAGGTGTTGTAGGCGGGATCGTCATTTTATGTCTGATATATATAAATCAGACATGAAACAATTAGCCAGAAATATCTCAATGGATCAGATCAGAATATGAGTTTACGCTGGTGCTCCATTATATATACCATTTCTAATTTTAAATGAAAACAAAACAAAATCTTGATAGAAGATAAAATACTTAACAGTCAAGAAGTCTGTTAAAATGTATTAAATCCAGCTGTCGTGTTGACGTTGTCATCAAGTCAGCTGCCAATTACGGAAATGACGTTCTCCGCTCGCTTGTAGCTGTGAGTTTGGATACGCGAGTGTACTCGTTCTCGCTCAACGGACGACAGCGCATGAAGGGCCTTCGTTTCACACAAGCCGGCTCTTTCAAATCTCGCGAGAGGAAAAGTTCCTGGACAACGTCTACGTGCCTTAACGGGGAGGTGCTTGGTTACTGTAAAATATATAGGCTGACGTATACTGACGATACCTAAACGTCTAATGAATGTTGGGTTATTCACGTAAACCTTTGAATTTGGACATTTGGAAGGAGAGTTGGTGAACGCGCTGCCGCTGTAGAGAACTGCCGGGCATCCAGCCCGCCGGACCGACATGGCGGAGAGTGGCTCACTGGTAGATTTTTCCGGGTCTCTGACGAGCTCGACGCTGCCGCCGCCGAGGACCCGCATCTTCAAAATCATCGTGATCGGGGACTCGGGTGTTGGGAAGACCTGCCTCACCTACCGCTTTTGTGCTGGAAAGTTCCCCGAAAAGACCGAGGCCACGATCGGGGTGGACTTCAGAGAGAGGCTGGTGGAGTTTGACAGCGAGAAGATAAAGGTACGCGGTGCATGGTCATAGAAGTCAGGATAGATGTTGATGTTGTGCCTTTGGTATCTTGGCTCTTCTGGTACAGAGATCATCTAAAGTAAAACTCGCTCACTCTATAGCTATGTCAGAAGGACTGCAGGGATAGATGTTGGAAAATAAGCCGAATCAAAGACGTGTCAGTCCACAGCGAGTGGAAGGGTCTGCCCATCGACAGTCTTCTTGAAACAATAATAGTCATAACAGCCAGATTTATATACTGATTTTTGTGTGGGGTCCGGTGCAAAGTTCTTAGTTTTCTAGAATTGTCTTATAGTCTAAAACACCCATGATTCCAATTCCAAAGAGTTTGATACTGACCCAAATTGCTGTACCGAAGACCTTGACAACAGGGTTGATCTGTACGTTGTAATTATAATATTTTAGTTTTAATAATAATAATGCCTACTTTTTTTATAGCACTTTTCTAGGTACCCAAAGATGCTTTGCAAAGACCGACAAGAACAAAACAAGGCAAAAAAGACATAATTGTAGTTTATACTAATCTGAAAATGTTTACATAGTTGCTGGTGTGCAATTTGTTATTTAATGATACATAACCACTCAACAAATGTATAACTATTAATTTGTTTTGTGAGGTTTACAAAATTAATTGAATCGGTTCTCTCTATCAAAAACCGTACCATACCCTAAGGCCGAGAAACGGTATCTGGAATGTAAACAAAGGATCGGTGCCCCCCCACAAATAGGATTGGATCCATAAGAGCTGATCTATTTCCTAACTATCCCTCCACAGATCCAGCTATGGGACACTGCGGGTCAGGAACGCTTCAGGAAGTCCATGGTGCAGCACTATTACCGCAACGTGCATGCTGTTGTCTTTGTTTATGATGTGACCAACGCTGCAAGCTTCCGCAGCCTCCCAGCCTGGATTGAAGAGTGCAAGCAGCACGCGCTGGGCACTGAGGTACCCAGAATCCTAGTTGGAAACAAATGCGACCTTCAAGACTCTGTTCAAGTGGGCACAAACGTAGCGCAACAGTTCGCCGACGTCCATTCTATGCCCCTGTTTGAGACGTCTGCCAAGAACCCAAGCAGCCAGGGAGAGGGAACTTGTGTCGCAGGCAACAGTGACCATGTTGAGGCTATTTTTATGACGGTGGCACACAAGCTGAAGTCTCAAAAGCCTCTGGTTTTGAGCCAGCCACACACGGGATCAGTGGGTACCATCAACCTGGGCAGGTGGGGGGCTGATGGGGGAGATGGGGCTAAGAGCTGGGGATGCTGCTGAGGGAGGAAATGAAAGGTGAGAGGGAGACAACTTCAGTTGTGGCTGCACAAGGCAGAGGCTTTGAAAGCACAAGGAGCTAAGGGAAGTGTGGACAAATGGATCAAGCCCAATCTCTTCATAATCAACACAAAGATTGATTAATTTCTCCATGACCAAAGGATACTTGTTTTCCCATTAGCTATACTTAACTTAATAAATTACTTTGGTTTTGAGACAGTATGCTTGTTGTTTTGGACTGACAAAATCGTTCCATCCATGGTTGAACTGAAATTATATTTAACAAGGGGCGAAAAATCAGGTTCTGAATAATCTTTCTTCTTTCATTAAGCATGTGTTGTCTTGGGCTCTGTGGCAACTGAAACATCAGTATCAGAATCCATTTATTGCCACATGTTACATATAGAGGGATTTCAATTGATGCAATATAAGAATAAAATATAATAAGATAACATAAAATGATTTTTAAATTAAAACAATACAAACAGTACGTTAAATGCATTCATGTCCATAAATATCCGAACACATTAAAATTCAATACATTCACCACAATAAGGGTTCCAGCATTTGTTGTTCTTGTGAACATGAACTTTTTGAAATTGAATCATGTTTACATTCAGGGTTCCTCATGAAAACACATTACATAACACAAACATGTTGAATTGATTTCCTTCGCAGAGAGGGCGCGCTGTAAGGCGCAGGGTTGTTGTTGGACATTGCTGCTCCGTGTCCCATGTCGATGTGTCCCGGATCTCTCCGGGCACCTTTACGGCAGCCCACTACTCCCACTGTGTGGGAAAGGTGAAATGCGGAGAACAATTTTCTCTATGTGTAATATAATAATACTTGCACCCACTACTTATCATGTATGTAAGCTTATAAAACAACATTGTATGGTATAGTGGACCATGCGCTGTTATCGTTTTAAAATCAAATCCAATCAGATGGCCTGGGGGGTATTCCGGAAAGGAGGTTCAACAAACTCTGAGTCTATCCTTGAACTCCGAGTTGACTTACTCTGAGACGGGAAACTGAGTATCCGGTTCAAGAACAGCTGATCTGCGTTAGTTCAATCAACTCTTGAGTATGTTCACCTTGAGTTAAGCGTGTGCGTGACGATTATAAAAAGCCATCATCAATGGAGCCCCGATACCACGAGTCACCACGACAACAGAAAATAAAAGAGCAACACTTAGACTACAGACACATTTTTATTTTATACCTATCGAAGTCATTTAAAATGTGACGCTGTAGCCTACACCAACACATTAAAATACTAATTCAAAAACAAAGAAACATTGAGTTGTGGGAGGAGACAGGTAGAAACTCTGGATTTCTTATAGTAAACCTGCCAGCGAGCAGGTTATGTTCACAGTCTGTTACCATGGTGATTGACTCAGAGTTTCAGTTACCTCTCTATCTGGAACGGATAACTCAGAGTTTCCCTGATCTCAGGGTTAACTTACTCTGAGTTTTCACATAACCAGCTTTCTGGAATACCCCCTGCTCTCAGAGCACGCCATCTGATTTGCTGATTAGCGTGTTCACAGGATATGCACACAAAAAACAGACACAATATGTGATAGCTTCATCTCTGAGGAATAGACATTATGTGAGTGGTTGTCCTTAGAGTCAATGTCCCCTTCATACCAGCTCCTACGGTTACCTTTGTCTTTTCTTCACTAAAGCCATTACAACAGCCCAGAAAGAAAGATACAGAATGGTATTAATCAACAAATATACAATTGAATGGAACTACTCAAGACAAGTAGTTGCAATGGTTTTGTCATAAACTACCTGGACAATTTCAAAATGTTTTTTATTGAATGCACATATCTGAAATGTTTATATCACATTTACGCTGCATGCAGTGAGTTCTTTCATTGATATTAACTTATTAAATGCTATTGTCTACAAAGAAATAAAGTCACTGCCAAAGTCCAAAGTGATCTGTCTGATCAAGAACACAAACCACTTGCATCTCTTTACAATATGTCATCCATTCAACAAGGAAATGTGAACACAGCTTTAAGGAAACAGAATCTATAACCATCTCCTCCTTTCTGGAACGGAGAAAACCAGTGAAAATGGTTAAGAAAATGATGTGTCAGGTCAGTCTGCTATAAGGAGGCAGTTTGGAAGGACCCTCCTCTTCCTCCCTGATGCTCTGGTCAATGGACTGAGGAGGACAGTTGAAAAGCCTGTTGTCATCTGCTGCTGCACACAAGAAAACTACATCACTCGACTGTTAGGAGAAAACCACCAAACACAGTAATCAGCAGCAACATGGCACAAGGAATAGAGCTGGGATGTCCTTCTGTCGGAGGATCTGTCAGTTTAATCCCATGTCAAGTTGTCTTTCCTGTGGTGTTTGAATGTGTACAAAGGTTAGATCGTCCTGACTGGACAGATGGAAGCTAGAAGCTCCTGTAGTCACTGTATGATTGGGACTGAATGATGACAGGTAGTCTTAGAGGGCTTTGATTGGTCGGAAGACTAGAAGAGAAATCCGAGTGTATAGCCCATTTACAATTAGTTTGGGAAGTGGTAATGGTCACCAATGGACATTCGTAAATTGTCTTTGTTGTATTGCAACTACTCAAAGCGCTGAACGCGTCACTCAATTTTGGCGTCACTGAATCTTTGCAGAGCATTCTGGAGGAGCTGGGAATTGAACTGTTGACTTTGTACACATGACATCTATCACACTTCTGAAGACAATGTTTGAAAAACTGCAATACTGTCATGTCATGATAAGAGGGGAAGTTTAGATAAAACAATAAGACTACATCTGTATCGTTTGTACAATAAGTTGTGTGTAAGACATGTCAACTAAGATAAAACTGCTCAGGATATGAAATCTGTGCAACGTGTATATCCAATGTCGAGGAGGCCACTCGGTGTCTCATGATCAGATGTATGTATCAGGATAAAGAACCTGACGGTCCTTGTACAATGAGAATTGTGCGTGCGCAGAACCGACCTTCTTATTCCAATATATATGTTGGTGCTGGAAAAGAAAACCTTTGAGTAGCCTTGACGCATGGCTTGTGTGTGTGCCAACTCTGTCTCCTGTTTGCAAACATTAAATATCCTGTTTTGAGATTTTTTCTAAAAGATAATATTGTTGTTTTTACCTTGCCATGTCCAAACCATCTCGGTGTTCTCTGGGTCACGCTGAGGAACAAGTGTCTCCTGCAACATACACACAAAAAAAAAGAATCACATCCAGATTTAGGCATCTTTGTGATTCTGCCATTGAAAGTATAAAAGCAACTTTCTAATTTTAGTTTATCGATAGTCGACTAACGTAGTGTTAGTTCCAAGATCATGGAGGATATCATAAGCACTTTATTTTGTTACATTTCTTCTATATTAGTCTATGGCAGTGGTTCTCAAATTGTGTGGAGTGTGGAGGTGAGGTGAGGCAAAATTAAAAAAAAAATTTTTTTTTATTTATAATCCTTTATTAGGCCCACATGGGGAAATTATTCTCTGCATTTTACCTGTCCTTAGTAATTAAGGAGCAGTCTGCTGCTGTGAAGCACTGTGCAAACTATGGGGAGAACACGGATCGAACCGTACTGTAAAACATCACATCCCTGTTTAGTTATGTCCACTTACTTCTCTTTAACTCAAAGAGCTCTGACAAGTTTTAGATTTGAACTTAACTGTTAAGTTACAGTAATGCTTCGTGTTGACTTATTCTATTATTATTATAAAAGCACGCATGGAGTCACAAAATGTCATGTTATTTCAATAAAAATTCAGCATGGACCATTTTGTTACATTTTTGGACCCAAGTTGTTCTTCCTTCAAAGTGGGGCCTGGCAGAAAAAGTTTGAGAACCACTGGTCTATGGTTAAGGTGAAGGGTTCCCATGACATGTGTTAGGAGAGATTTGCTTAAGTGAGGTTTGAGAATATGCATAATTTGGTTGGTTTGTCTACCCAACAACATAAACGTAAAAAGGTGGAGAGGAATGATGCTTCAGTCTCTTTAGTTTTTTACCATGACAACAATACACATTAAAAACCAGTCACTAACCAGACACTAACCACCAAGCTGTTTTTTTCTGTTATGAAACGAAACCACTTGACGTATGTGATGAATGGATCAGCGCAAACAGCAGATGTGTAGTGGAGACAGACAGGCATATCAACAGTCACTTAAAAGCCTTTTTTTTCTATACCAATCCGGTTCTGGCATCATAACAGCCACAGCAGGGAAGACCGCGGCAGCCCACGAAGGCGATGACGGAGGAGAGAGCCAGGCAGATGGTGCAGGTCAGCAGGATGGTGGCATTGGCCCCCTTCACCATCCGATGAAGCACAAACGTCTAAGCAAATGACAAAGAATGCAGAAATCCTGTATCAAGTAACCTTGTCAAAGATATGAGTTGAGTTGATGTGTGTGTTACCGGCACCAGACCTAGGGGTAATCTGGACCGGCAGCAAAGGGTACAGAGGCTAGGAAGCACTGTGTAGCCTGTGCATTGGTATAGAGAGAGGACTCACGTTAGCGTCACGCTCAAGCCAGAGCTTGTTTTATTCTGCGCATGAGTGGAGCCTGTAGCTACGTTCTCTCCAATGGATCCACAGCAGCACCACAGCACCTTCTACTGACGCGATCGTGTAATACCTCAATATAACCTCTGAAAGAGTGCAATTTTTAACAAAGAAAAGAGGGGGGGGCTGTTTTAATAACTAACTTGTAGCATTTCCAACCTACTACACGTGCAAGTGGTAAATGGAGCGCATTTGTCCTTTCTAGTCTTCATATCACTCAAGGGGCTTCTACTCTACATGTCATCATGCACACCCGTTCCTACACTGATGACAGAAGCTACAACACAGCGACAGCTACGCATTCACACATCGTAGTCACAGCTCGGGGAGCAACATGGACACTACCAGGAATTGAACCGCCAAACTTTTCATTGTAGGACAACCCTGCCTTCCAATGCCATGGAAGCCATGTATATATTTGTTTCTTCACTTATTTGAATCAGAAGCAACTGTTTCTATGTACATTTAAGCTATGAAAAGACAATATGGTAAAATTACAAGAGGCAAAGTGTGTTGGCTCTGCAAGAATAGTTTTTAAGATCCATTGTCATGGACTTAAGGGTTGGTAATCATACACCATATTAAGATTAGAGAGTAAAAAAAATTTAAATCCTTTTTTTCTATATTTTAGGTATATGTATACAGAATGTCATTCTGCAGTCTGGCCAGTAGTGAGATATCTTGCTCTCTAACAAAGTCTGCAAACCTGTTGCAGATCTAAATCTACTCTGGAAATGGAAACAGATTTAAATATCCTGCCTCCATCCGTGATATGGGTTATGTTCCACAACTGCAGAATCTAAAAGTCAATTTCCCATAATGCCTTACGTTAGAACCTCTCTCCTGCATACACCAAGGTTTGTGCAACCCTTCCCCAGGCCATCAACGCCCCCCCGCACAAAGCGCTCATGGATGTTGCCGGCAGCACAACGTTGGCCACGGCGTCTCCAGACTATCACGTCTGTCATATGTGCTAAATATGAACCTGCTCTCATCGATGTAGAAAATGGGATGCCAACAGTGAACCTGCCGATTCTGAGGTTCTCTGGCACATGCCAATAGAGTTGCATGGTGAAGGGCTGCACGCACAAGTCTCACGAGAGGACATCGGGGACCCCGTAGCAACCTCACGCGAGTAGCCTGCTGTAGGTTGTGTTAGGCAAGGCTCTGCCAGTGATACTATTCCTCCTTACTCAATGGAACCTGGTGCTGGGTCATTGCTCTTCTCATGTATCTCCTCCCCATCTCGAGAATGTGTTGGGAGACCCAACAAACCTTCTTGTGATGGCTTGTTTGAATGTGCCATTTGCACAGATACCGTCTTATGCCACCAGTAGGGAGAAGGGAACTAGCCGTATGCTAAACTAGAGAAGAAATATGGCAAAATGTTGCTGCTTTCAATTGGTCCGAAACAGGAGAAATTGATTCAAAAGACTGCGAAAACATAATCAAAACATAATGATTAAATTACCTTAAGAATTTAACCAAATCGTAATCATAAATATTTTTATATTAATTTCAAACTTTTAAAAATTGAAAATTAAAAAACTTTAATTTATTTATTTTTTGTAAATCAGTGGTCCCCAACCTTTTTTACCTTATGGACCGTTTTCATGTCAGACAATATTTCGCGGACCGGTCGAGAAGGTCCGAGCACGGTAAGAGGACAATTGTAAACGTGAAGAAAAACGCCTGGTGATGCGTGGGGAATATGTCAGAGGGACGAGCGCACATAATTAGGAGAAAATCCGGTCAATTTTCAAAATAAAACATTTTTCAGAAAAAAAAATATATAAGCTTTCTGCGGTGCGACCAAAACGGCCCACGGACCAGTCATTGGGGACCACTGTGGTAAATGACCTCTCGTGGCCCACCTGCAGTACACTTTGGGAATTTGAGCAAGATACCTCCTTTGATTTTCAAGCCCGTAGTGCGTGCGTGCGTGTGCGTGTGTGTGTGTGTGTGGTTACCACTTGAGGACTGTCGTGCTGGTGGAAGACCTCTCGGTCCTCTTCCCCGTAGGTGAGTGTCAGACAGGCGTAACCTGATACAAACGCTGCTGCCACACAGGAGAGACCGGCTGCTACCACCATCACACTCACCTGGAGATAGACAAACACACTCTGTACATCCGTGTCAGATACTATTAGAGAATGTGTATTTATTTTTCCGACTGATTATTAATTGAATTTCTTAATATACTAATTAGTTGAGAGATTCTTCTTGAGAAGAATGTAACTAATTAGCATATTTTAGGTCAATTTAACAAATATGTAGAGAAGAGTCATGGCTCTATGTAAGTTCAAAGTCATAATGTTGTAATAAACTATGATAACGCAGAGCAAATATTAAGATGATGAGAAATGGTTTTGCACCTTGTAAAAAAGTACAGACCAATGTTCAATCAGCTCTATGGTGGAGTGTGTATCAGTGGGTGAATGATGTCATGTAGTGCAGCGGTCGCTGCACTTTCATTTAAAACTCCTCTCTGCTACCCCAACTGCAAATGGACTGTACTTGTATAGCGCTTTTCTAGTCTTCCGACCACTCAAAGTACTATACAAGTACAGTCCATTTGCAGTTGGGGTAGCAGACAGGAGTTTTAAATGGAAGTGCAGCGACAGCTGTATAATATTTACTTGCCATAAAAAAAATTCCACATCTAAATGGCTCTTTCTAAAGGGTACATTATCAAAAGCACATTTCTTATTTTCCTCAGTAAATGAAGGTCTTTTTGGAATCATTTCGTTGTCCATTTTAAGCAATATCACACACTAATAGCTACACATTGTTCCATAAAACAATCGTTTCCCTATCAAGACTTTTCAGAGGGATTACTACTGTGATTTTTAAATTCTACATTTTTTTAAACAGATGTCAGTACAAACCGCAAAAATGAACTAATGGCTGGGTAATAGTTTTGTCTGTTAAAACGGATGTTCCTCATAGCATTGGACTTGAGGCTTTATTTGGGTTACAATGTATTGTCACAGAAATGTGTCTGCACACAACTGATGAGAAAACGTAAAATGTTTATGTTTTATAGTGTTTTGTGACTTATGCATAAGTCAGTGGTTTTCAAGCTTTTTATTTTACGCCCCAACAAAATTGTTATTAAAATAACATGTTATGTTACTCCACTATCTATGCTTTTTCAAATAACAGGATAAATGACACAAAATTCACTTTCAAATAAACCAGATTGCTCCATTAAAAACAAAAAAGTGTACAACCATCTTATTAGAACAATGCAAGTTAAGGTCTATCTATCTACTGTCACGCACCAACCACCAAGACCAATTCCTTGCATGTTTGACATATTTTGGCAATAAATGTTTCCTGATCTGTGAAGAAAAAAAAAATTGGCAGAAAATATTTATTTATTTATAATTTATTTTGGCTATAATAAACCTGTTTTGAACTGACTAGATTTTCAAGACAACAATGAAGTGCACAATCAACGTGAAAAACTAAACAAATTTAAATATTTTGGAAACAAAACAACAATAATGTACAACCTGTACAAAAGTAAAATAAAAAAAAAATAGTGCAGATATGTAGGAGCATGCTTTCCATTACAAATCTTTGATCTGCATTTAGTTTTGAGAGAAAACAGCAGTCTTTGTACTTTGGTAGGGTGGAAAGTTCTCAATTAACACATTTCCCCATGTGCCCCACCTGTATTACCAAACGTGAGAGAAACACTGGTTTAGCCCATTGGGTTAAGCGAGCAGTGCTCTTGTAATACTACTTCGACCCGCTAGAGGGTGCCGTCACTCAATGAGACAGTGTGGGTGTCTGCGTGAATGCCTTCCTACTTTGGTTAAAACTACAATAACTTAAGTTACTGACTAAAGCGTATTCTAAAAGAGCGGGGGAGGGAAGCCGCTCACTCACCAGTATGGAGTTCTTCCGTTGGGAGGCAAACATCGCCAGTACACCTGGGGTGGCCATGACCTAAAAGAGGGGGGGGCACCTTTACTAATATTAGAACACGCCTCTTATATCTTTATATAGTAGCGACGCAGTCAGTCTGCGATTTACTTGGTAGAACAGAAGGTAAAGGGAGGTTCTACCTGTTATGTGACGTAGGCACGAGTATATACATACAGACACACACCGGTGTACGTGATAAAGCACGTTATAAACGGACTTCAGCCTGTCTCCGAGTTTTAAGTGGCTGCGGTCATGTGGACAGAGTTTCAAAATTAAATTCATGAGGTTACGGTAAAGGGGCTTCTACAGTCCAAAAGGCACACATCGCCATTTCCCTTCTTTGAACAACGAGAAACAGGTGGAACTAGAGTGTAACCTTTGATGGGCTTTGTTTAAAGACAGTTCAAAGAGAAATTCATGTCATGAATGGTGCATTTTGGGCTGTACAGCCCCCCCCCCCCTACCATAACACCCAGAATAGAGGTGCATTTTATTTCGAATTGTGGTCCACATGACCGTAGTTCGTAACTGGAACTTTACAATATGTATATATTTTACTAAGCAGGTTACGTCGTGGCTCAAGATAAGAGCCAATTGGTAAGTAAGTGGGCCTGTATGTAACTATTGAAGACGCTGCAGCGGCTCACCAGTCCTCCCCACACTGGTGTCCTGCTTGCGCTCAGCGGGGTATCGTTGCGGAAAACAGCGTCTATGAATCCACACACCACGCAAAGCCCCGCAGCAGCCAGCTGGAGGATCCCGTGGAGGAGCACGCTCTTCTGGTTGAACGTCAGGTACCTGTGTCGTTCCATCTCCGGCCCACTTGCCAAAGACTGCTCCCCCCGCGCACAGAAGACGCTGCGAGCTCGTGGGCTTTCTGTGAAAAACACCGGTCTAGCCGGGAGTATTTGTATGGCACCCGTTTCTGAAATCTTTTCCTGGAGGACTTCCCTAACCCGTGTGTATCTTCCGGGCTGCATGCTACTCTCACTGCGGGCTCAGTTTATCCATTAACTTGCTGACCCGCTGTAGGTGGAAAGATACTGGGATTTCATGCCCGCGATTTGGACTCTAAGGCAGTCGACCTCCGCCCCCTAGTCTGGCGTTGGGATTTAGAGATTTAAAAAAAGATTCACCAAGAGTAGTATGAAACATATGGATTCGCGAACTAGAATTACTACGCCGCTGTGTAGTACAAACTAAATTTGACCCTCAGAATGTGGAACATCACACTGGCCTGGTGAAAAATGCTCACTCAATGACTGCCTGCAGCCATTTCCCATATTAACCCGGCACTGAAACACATACTAGTACTAGTATGCTGAAAAAATGTATGAAGCCAGATCAGCTCTGCATCTGTGTAAGAATAATCATGAAACTGAAGCTGTCCAACTTGTCTTTAGCTCAGGCACCCTACTTAGCTTTCAGCATTGCAGTAATCCACTTTAGCATGAACTTTGTCAGACATGGTCTTATTTTTGACCTTTAAAATACAGTTAGGTGAAGATATGGAAAGTAAAAATGAGAAAGTCGTAATAGTTAATAGTATGAACCCCCAATCTTTATTGCAAGTGAAATGTGAGGACAATAGTAAAATTATACTGAACATCACCTTCAGCCAGAGACATTTCTCCTCTCAAAACATTTATTCTGTTGCTTAGGCCTACAGGAATTCATCTGTGTTTTCACAAGTTCCCGGAAGCCGCCTGGCTTTGCTGGAACTCAATTAGCTCCTTCTTGTACCAATCAGGGGCCTCGGGGCCAGTATTCCCGGATGTCTCATCATAACCATAAGAAACAGTTAGTTCCTCATCTTTCTGCACAGCCCTCAAGGTTCGGACACACTTAATTGGCCCAAAACGAGGGTGGACAAACCTGCACAGAAACAAAAGCATAATGACTTCACTGTGTGCTTTTGTGATGACCAATTGTTGACATTAACTATTACCATCAATAAACCATTTCATTTATTTGAGGGGCATGTTATGCATTCATTATACATTTTACCGTATGGAAAAAAACACTGCGCGCCATACTGTATGCATGCAGCAAACTACACTGCATGCAGCACGCGCACACTGCATGGAGCGCACTATACACTACATGCACCATACTGTACACTGCATGCAGCGTACTTTAGCCATGTTACAAAGGGTCAAGCTCAACATTGAGTATGAATTGAGAGGCCGTATCAAGTCTGCAACCCTGTTTTGAAATATTTCTAGTGGAAAGGAGGCTCATCACAGCCAATAACACTGATGTCTCATACATATCTGCACTAATTTGGTTATGTTTTGTACAGGTTGAACCTCCAGTGCAAAACAGGTCAATTACAGATGCAATTAACTATTTTCTGCCAAATATGTTGTTTTTTGCACAGATAGAACTTAATTTGCATTGTTCTAGATGGTTGTGCATTTCTTTTTGTCTCACAGAGCAATCTGGTTTGAGAACCACTGGGTTCAACTAAGATGTTGTATTTCACCTCCTGGATGAAGCCAAGCAATTGTATCTGGTTGGTGCAGCCCAGTACAAATGGCCCACAGCCCGGTATCGGTCCGGTGGTTGGGGACCTCTGGGTTGGGGGATCAAATTTCACAGACTGACGTTTTTCTCAAGCGCCATTTACGCTCTACCCATTTTGGCTTCTGAGTGGATAAGGGAGCGGTCAATCTTTTCAACCCTGTTAGTGATTTTTTTTTTTTTTAGGCGGCGTGCACGAGGCACAGCGGACACTCGCCGACCAGATACGGCGTGTGGAGCGGACCAACCCGGACTCTTTAGTTATTGTCCTCGGGGACTTTAACAAAGGAAATCTCACCCATGAACTTCCTAAATACAGACAGTTTATTAAATGCCCCACCAGAGAGGAGAACACGCTGGATCACTGTTACACCACAGTCAGCAGGGCTTATCACGCCGTCCCTCGTGCTGCACTGGGACACTCTGACCACGTCATGGTCCATCTGATTCCTGCATACAGGCAGAAACTAAAGCTCTGCAATCCTGTGGTGAGGGAATTCAAGAAGTGGACCAGTGAGGCGCTGGAGGATCTTCGCGCGTGCTTTGACTGCACAGACTGGGATGTTTTCAGGACTGATACTAACAGTCTGGATGAGTTCACAGAGGCTGTAACTTCCTACATCGGCTTCTGTGAGGACAGCTGTGTACCATCATGCACCAGGGTGAGTTACAACAACGACAAACCCTGGTTCACAGTGGAACTCAGAACACTACGCCTGCAGAAGGATCAGGCATTTAGGAGCGGGGACAAAGACTTGTACACATTCAAAATACAAGTTTAGCAAGGCGGTGAGAGATGCTAAATGACTGTACAATGAGAAACTCCAACAGTTCTCAGCAAGTGACTCTGCTTCGGTCTGGAGAGGCCTCAAACACTTCACTAACTACAAGCCAAAAAAACCCCACTCCATGAATGACCTCCGCCTGGCAGACGAGCTGAATGAGTTCTACTGCAGATTTGATAGACAATGTCCTGATCCAATCCCCCACAGCTCCACCAACCTGCTGCAGTCCCCCACCCCTAGCATTATATTTTATTTTATTACTCGTGCACTATTGTCTTGTTGCACTGTCTACTGTCACGCACCAACCGCCAAGTCAAATTCCTTGTATGTCTGACATATTATGGCAATAAATGTTTCCTGATTCCTGATTCCTGAAGAGGACAAGGTTCTGACACACATCCTCTCCAAGTTACCTGGTAAGAGCAGCCATTTAAAATTAAAAATGTAAAGTTACCCATCACGACTGATCATCAGAGGTAGGGGAAATTGAAATGACTAACACAGTAAACCACGTAAGAACAAATAGTGGCACATGCATAGTCTTTTAGAGAGAGAGAGTGATTGAATGAGTGATTAAGAGAGAGGAGGGGGTCAAGGTGGAGGTGGGTGGGAGGGAGGGAGGGAGGGGCTGACAAGGAAGGGGTAGCATATTTCTATAAATGTTACTGAATGAAGTTAGCTGGACAAACTATTTTAACGTTAGTAGTGTATGAATGTAAAAGACAGTCTGGCGGCAGAAGCTCAAGTGCATTTATTTATTAAATTGTAGGTTTTTCATTTTAAATTTAAATCTTAGAGGGAATTTTGATTCATGTTTTTATTTTGTTTAAAAAAAATATATATTTAAAATCAATTATTACACCATTAGTCCACCATTATATTTTTCCTTTCGCACCCCCCCCCCAGGGGTGCGTGTACCACATTTTGGGAATCCCTGCTCTACAGCTTGAACCCCTTTTTTAAATGCCACGTCACTTACATCACAAAAATGCCTTTGCAAAGCCTAGTTTATGCTTCTGCCTTTTCAGAGAGACGCAAGGACACGCAGACCTTGCGTGCCTTTTGACACCTTGTTGCGTCCTTGCGTGTGTCGACCTATTTTTCTAGGCTTGCGTTAAAAGCGACGTAAGCCTCTCGCAGACCGCAAGGCTGTGATTGGTCCGCAACTACGTCCTTTACGGAGTCTCACATTTCCGCTTCACATTTCCGCTTTCATATTTCATATAACCCATTGGCGGGTTGTATAAGCGGGTTGGATTCACGGAGGGAGATCGCCGCAAACGCCGGTTTGCCGGTCGAGAGGAGCACAAAGTTGTGGAGGAAAATACGGGACAAATGTGTCTGCGATGAAAAGCAGCTGTGGCGATGCACGAGGCAATAAAGTCTATGATAAATAAATAAACAAACCAACAACTTCCACACACAAAGACGTGACTCTCTAGGTCGTCTTCAACAAAACACGTTAATTGCTCTGCAAAACACGCAAGCCTTTTTGAACCATGAATTGAAACGAGTGCGTCGACACAACGGTGCGTAAAGACGCAGACGCAACCGAAGAAGCATGCGCCAGCCTTCTAATCTAATCTTTGCCCTTGTATGCCACACTTATCTACACCGTCATCACCTCCAACTGGTGCAACTCACAGCAACATCATCTTTTAACAGCATTTACGCCACCAGTCACCAGAAGAGCCCAAAACATCATCAAGGACAGAACAGTCCCTGAAGCATAAGTAATATTAACTACTTAACTAGATTGTTTGGAGGGCATAGCTAGATGTATTTCTACACCATTACGTAAAGCTATAAACCTGGGGAAAACACTAGACCTAGAAGGTATACATTACGTACAAACGTAATGCTTTTACTTTAGTAATTAGTTCCTTACATCATTTTTTTTGTCTCGAGCGACGGTTCCTGTGAGGGGCACACTTTTAAATTCTCATCTTTTTAAAGTCTTAGCTTTTATCTTTGTGTTTGCAACTTAATCCTTCAAATGCTTATTTTTTTATCAGCGATAATGTGATCTGAAATAGTTTTTTCCCCGCCAAAAAGTACACATTTAATCAGTAATATATCAGCAATCTGTAATTGGTAACAGTCTGGGTTCCAGTGCACTTCAACAAGAGCTTTGCAGTGGGGGCTATTAAACTTTCATTCTCAAAATTCGATTCCTTTTTCTGAAATACATAAATGTCTTCCATCAACATTTTTTTTTGCTTTCTTCTAACCGTTTGTACTCACGTGTCATATTTGCAATTGGGGATGAAGGAGTGGTTTGCCTTGTGACCAAGGGACGCACAGTATCTCTTTGTGTTGACAAAAGGCTGAGGGACATCAATGACTGTATCCTTGTCCAATGAGATTGTGTTCCCATTCAACGTCCAGTCTCTGCTGTCCACCTGAGGAAAAAAAAGAAAAATAGAATTAAAACAAGTTCATACGCATACACAATTATACAGTACAACCCCCCCAACTGTCAGCCAGACAAAGTGGGCAATTAACTGCTTCACCACCTAGTGGGAAGATAAAGGGAAAACTGTAAACCTGTAGACCATTATATTGCGTGATTTTTATGGCACTGTGCACCTCTCTGTAACCATTACGGTTACAGAGAGGTGTCGTTTGTGTTTTGCATAACTTCAGCCAATCCAAAGACTGGCTTTGTAACCAATTAGATGTAGAGATACCATGGTGACTGGCTCCGCCCTACGATGGCCCTGTGTGCAAAACACAACGCAAATAGGAAAACACAACGATATTAACTCCTTACAGAAAGGGTAGGGCCTTATAACAGAGGAGGGACCCTTCTGATTGGACAGACGGACTGTCTGTCTTCTAACAGGAAATGATACAGTGCTCTCAAGTGTCACACATTGAGCGAGACAGTCACGCACTCCTGCCACACATCCAATTCCTCACGCCAAGGAATCCCCGGTCACCGAGCCGTGTCGGCCGTAGCGTCCGCGGCCCCCCTAGCGTCCACCGGCCGTAGCGTCCGCGGCACCCCCCCCCCCCCTTTTATTTACAACACCTGAATATAGTTGAACAACAAAACACCGGTAAAACAATGGTAAAACACTAGGACACTTTTAAGACACTCGTAAAACATCGCCATCTCTCGCTCTCACTCTCCTGCTGCGTCAGCGAAAGGTGTTGGATTAAGAGGGTTAAAAGACAGATAGTCTGTCCAATCAGAAGGGTCCGTCCTCTGCTATAAGGCCCTACCCTTTCCGTAAGAAGTTCATTTCGTTGTGTTTTCCTATTTGCCGTTGTGTTTTGCACTTCAGGGCCACCGTATCGCCCGCTTACTGTGAAAAAGAACAACGGCGAGCGTGCAGAAAAAGCCTTCGAGCGCGAGCAGAGATTAGCCTAGCAAGCAAGGAAGTTCACATTCCGCAAGCGACCAAATAGCGCGACACAGACTTTTACTCGTGAATGTTTGATTTACGCGCGTACATGAACCTGATTTGCGCTGTCGAATTTTGACAGTGATTTTCCGCCATATCTATGTATCATACCTCAGAGTGAGTGATGCGAACTCCATTATAAAATGCCATCACCGTGTCAGTATCCGCGTTTGTCTTGGCAAACAGGCCTTCTCCTGCTCCTTTGATCAGAGAGTCTGACACAAACACCCTGACACAAACAAACAATAAGGGGACAATGTGAAGAACAGCCCTAAAGTGCCCAGTACCCCAGTTCTATTGCGACTGAAGATTGATTGATCATTGATTGGGTTTAGCGTATGCATTGAGAAGCTGACGTACCTTTGATTCTCATAAGGGTCAGGAAGCAAAGGGTGGGCAGTAATACAGGTGGATGTGGACTTGTCGAACGAGTACACAGGACCTTAAAAAAAAAATTAAAAAAAGGACTACGTGATGCTAATGTCCAGATGTCTACATATTTTTGAAACAAAAGTAAAAAGGATAAATGTTCATCAACAAATATTCGGATTTAATAAACCTTGCGTATGTCTGTCAGTGTCCAATTTCGTTTTATTAATCCCAAATGAACGAATGAATGAAGTGTGCCCAGCTGGTTCAGCCTCGCATCCCCGCCCACAGTCAACCATAAACGATCAATGGAAAGCACCTTATGAAGGATTATGAACATCACTATGTGAATCACTGCAACTGTTAGGAGGAACAACAAAAATCTGTAAATTCACATTCAACTGAACTAGTAGTGTAAATCAACCACACTAAAGAGGTAGTCATCACGTTTTTGCGACCTTTATCAAAGTGCATTATGGGGAATTGGCGGGCGACGTTGACTTTCCTCTCTTCTCGCACATGTTTCGGTCGGACCAGGCTTGGGTCTCGGCAGTGGCTTGAACTGTTTTCGAGGTGAGTGAGTGAAAAGTGAGTGAAAAGTTTATATATGTAATGTATGAGCTATTATGCCATCGTAGGAGTAACATTTGGAGCCAGTAAAAAGTTACAACGAGCCAGTGAAGGTAAATTACATTATAATGAGCCAGTTGCCAAACCTTGAAAAAAAGTAAAACAATAATTTTTAACTCATGTTCGATACCTCAGCTTGCTCTGCTTGCTGTGTCAGTCTTTCTACATTAACGGCTGGTTATAAAGTTAATTAACTTGGCTAACTTATATCCCGTGCTTCTCGGCTAGTCCAGGAGAACACTAAGCTAATTTGATCTGCTGCTTTGGACCACTTGATTTATTGAAGCGAAGCATAGCTTTTTCAGAAAAGTAGTTTGTGATGTAAATAATTTCAAAAACATTCTATTGACTCTGTTCCTCAGACACCGGTTTATGTTGGCATACTACTTGGTTGGCTCAAACCCAACCTATTTAAACAAACAGTGGAAGTAACAGGAGTATCCCCGGATCTTCTGACCTCCTCTGTCAAGAAAATGATAAAGAAATGTGGAACTCAAACCATTGCGTCACTGGCCACGACCGCATGCATACATCGAACAAAAGATACAATTTGTCAATTGGAAACAGGTGGACTTCTGGATTTTTGCAAAATTGTCCATGTATTGCACATACCCACCCCGCTCAACTGATTGTAGCTGAAGAGCTCAACCCCTACGTTCCACTGCAGGCATACACTGTTTGACAGACTGAGGCATTTCTTGTTCATTAGGGCAATCTTTTGTGGCTCATATTTTTTCCCTGTATTAAGTAAGTTTGTTGAAATATATATATATATATATATATATATATATATTTTTTTTTTTCCAGTTTCGAGCATCAACTGACCTGCACCACCTCTGCAGACACCAGTTACACTTAACCAAAGCAGTAATACAACGGCGGTCTTGTCCTTCACAATAACAGTCTTTTATTGTTCTGTAATGAAGTGATATTTCTAAAATGGCCTTAATAAATGAGACATTCCAATTGCTGTCTGGCAAATATAGTTTTGTTTTTTAAATAATACCACTATCTCGTTCTGGAACAGTAAGTGAAATATATAGAAAAACTCAAATTGTGTTGAAACTATACTAACTATTCATATTTTCAGAATAATAGTGTGATCAAATCAGGTTTATCAAGTGGGGCAAGGCCTTAGCCACATCTCAGACCGGGACTTGCATGCACAAATTTCTGATGCACTACAATAATATGAATACTCTATGAATATATTTTAAACTGACAAATTGAATCATGCTGCTGCGCATCATCCTGAGCAAAGATGACAATAGAAGGGTTACCATTGACAACTTGCCTGATGTTGTTGACTTCCATGCCATCTTAAAGACCAAACTAGAAATCAATGGGGACATTGTGGTTCAGTATAAAGACCCGGAATTTGATAATGAATTGTGCAATTTAACTAGCATGTCAGAGCTTCCTAAAGATCGAGCAACTTTAAAAGTTTACCCCAAAGCTTAGGAGTCAAACCACACAGACTCAACCCTAGACACTGCTAGCATGTCCTCGTCTTCCCTTGAGGAGGGCCCCAGTGCTAGCCAAAGTTGTCAGCTGCCTCAGCCATTTATCATTCCTGCCTTTTTGATGTGGAGTTAAAACTAAGGCGAGGACATTACACTTCTTGACCCTATGGTTTAATACACTTATTGTAAGCCAATTTGGATAAAAGCGTCAGCTAAATGACATGTAATGTGCACGAGGAAGCAGTGATCATGTCTGATTTGAAGGACCTGCCAAGCGCCATGGCTACGCACATGCGTTTGCTTTTTGCCCTGAACATTGACTATTCGAAGGAACGAAAATACACATGAGGTAATTTAGAAGGTTCTCGTGAACATTGGTGGAGGACTGTATTCCTCACTTGTGCATGGACTGAGGAAAAAACTCCTACGACAATTCATGTAAGGTTGTGCTGATGACTCTTCACACTTGTGTTAAAATTGTTGATTACTACTTCTGTTCGGCACATTTTAAGGTCTTGTTTTGGACATTTTCTTTCTGTTCTATTTAGATAGTAAGTGGTGCAAGACCATGATGTTTAAATTGTTCGGTTTTATTGTCACATGATAAATCATGTGTTTCAGGTTATTGTAGAACTTTTTCTTAAAAGGATACATTTACTTAAAATGAACATACCTTTTTTTTTTAAATCAGCTGAAAGAGTTGCAAGTCCAAACAACTACCATAAGAAGCTCAACCAATTAACAAATCCAAATCAACCAAAGAAAAACTAAAGGTTTACTGTTTTAGTTCAGTTGAAATACATTTTCAGGTCCAAACTATCCTAAACAGTTCAATTAACAAATCCAAATAATCTGAACTAAGGCACAGGTTTACACAGAGATATTTATGCAAGATGACATTTGGTGAAGTTCAAAGAATTATATTAGTTAACGTAGAATTTTAAGACAGCCCTTTGCCTCATATTTTTATATTATTTATATATATTTTTTTACATGTTAGATTTTACAGTGTATCCATTAAACTGAATCCTATATATTTAAGTTAATCTTATGGTCAACTTGGCCTGCATTATGACTTAATAAAGATATGATAAAGATATAAGGGGGCATGGCTGCCACCATGCGCGCATAATAAAAGGGACATATTCACATTTTTAGCTGTGATAACTTGGCTCCAGCCTGCAACCCAAATATTGCATCAATATGATTGAATCAGAAAGACACAAAGTATAATTTGCTTGATTTATATTTCCTACGTGTTCTCATTCCTTACCACTCAACAACATAACATGAAATAAACCAACTAATTATGGATATCATTCATATCACCTAGATAAGAATATGTGGATACATTTGGATATTTTCAGAAGAGTTAGTTAGAGTTAGTTATATAAATAAACTAACTCCTTACTGTTCGGTGTGATTTCGAAGCGCGGCCTTCCACTCTCAGAGGCAATCAGGGTGGCAAGGTGAGCCTCAATTATATCACAATCCACGAAGCTTCCATAGAGAGCTGTGTGTCCGTCAGGGTAGATGTACGCTACGGATTCACCTGTCATCTCGCCGTCCTCATTCACCTCCCCAAACACACAGCCTCCATCCTAGACGCACCACAGTACACAGCAACATGCACAAGGCTGGTAGTTATAGAACATTCGTTTACTTTACTTCCATAATGTGTATCAGATTTCTGCCTTTGTCTTAAACAAGGCTTTTGAGAACATTTAGTGCGATATACAGTCTGAATAGGACCTCTGAAGAGCTTGAAGTCATAGAACCAAGTGATGCAAAAACTGCCACTGTGAGCACTGAGCTGACTCACAGGGTAGTAGATCCAGCATTCCCCACAGCGGTTGTTGTCTTTGTACTGGCCCTTGAACATCAGGTGCCCCTCTGCATCGCACTCCTGAGCGGGTCCGTTGAGCTCTCCATCCACATATGTCCCATGGAGGACAGTTCCATCTTCATATGTATACAGCCCCTGGCCCTGCAGAGCATCCTCTACATAGAAACCCTCCAGTGCACTATGGATGGACAGGAGATGAATGGAATTATTAGTGTGCACTGCGCGCGGACGCACAATTTTTTTTGTGATTAAAATTAATTCAAATGTAGCGCATTGCACACTTTTATTTATGCATACACGTTTAATAATATTTTGAAATATTTGGTTTAAAAAATAAAAAATACAGAACCAAAGCCAATTGCCAATGACTTTTAATGTTTTATCTAGATTGGTATTGTAAAACAAATTGCATTATAACATGCACCTTAAGAGCAAAGGTTAACTCGTTTTCATCTGATAGAGATAGGTAGATGTGTCTTTATTATGCAAAAAAAAAAGGTGAGTGCAAATTTCTTGCATTGCAAACAAAAATTAAGTTTGTAAGTAAAAATATGTTAGTTTTGCTTATGAAACGATTGTTTTTGCCTGCAAAACAAAAACCTTTTGCAAAAAAGTTTTGCAATCTCAGTTTGTACGTAGTGGGCTGGGCTTACACCGCTGAATGGACCAGGAGTTTCTATTGATGGTTCGACTGTGCGCTCGCTGTCTGCAGCCACCATTAAACACTGACGGTAGGCGACTGAGGAGCGACACGGAGGTAAGCGGACTTTGTATTTTGTCAAAATTATTTTAAATGCCGCAGCACTTTGTTTTCATGTTGTTAGTGTCGCAGCGTGTTTTATTGAGGACATGGAGGCCAGCTGTGTTAACGTGAAGCCCCACTTTCATGTGGGTGCATGTTGTGTCTCCAAGGAGGGCTGCTGTGTTGACTTGAAGCCACAGTTACTACGTGCATGTTAGCACACATTAGCCCGCAGTGGGCTAACAGTGGTTACACGCACCTGGACGTGTTCATGTTAGCTGAGGTTAGCTACGCACAATGACACCATTTAAATAAATCCCATGGGTTTGGTTCTTTCCGACCGAGGTACAATTGTCGACACTAATCAGTTTTGGAACTTTTGTGGACTGATAAATAGAGTCATAATCTACAAAAGCAGTACAACTTATTGTCAACAGGCAAGGTAGAAAAACAGCTCTTACAGGCCTGAGGGTTTCAATACAAACATACCAACTTAAAGTCAAGTCTACCTCTCAGCAAATATCACAAATCAAAAACATCTGAAGATGTGACAGCAATTCCCTTTGAAATGAATGATACCTTTAGGGACTTTTACTCTAACTTATACCAATGTGAAAGATCACCCAATGACACAGACATGGAAACGTTTCTGAAGGGTCTTGGATTCCCAAATATTGATAATGTCCAGGAAAGGAATCTAAACCAACCACTACACACGAGCGAGATACTAGGTTCGATCAAAGCTATCCAAAATGGCAAAGCACCTGGGCCTGATGGTTTCCCTATTGAATTTTTCAAGGAATTCTCTGATAGACAATTGCCACTCGAGGTTGATATGTTCAACAACTCTTTACATTACATGTCATTTAGCAGACGCTTTTACCCAAAGCGACAACCATAGGGATACAAAGAGAGTGCGGGTCGGGATGTAGGGTTTGACCATGTCCTGGATGTAAGCTGGACCCGATCCATTCACAGCATGGTACACGAGTACCAATGTTTTGAACTGATGCGGGCAGCCACCGGTAGCTAGTGAAAAGAGCGGAGTAGTGTGGGAGAATTTCAGAAGGTTAAAGACCAGTCGAGCTGCTGCATTCTGGATGAGCTGCAGAGTTCGAATGGCGGTAGCAGGGAGACCTGCCAGGAGGGAGTTGCAGTAGTCCAGGCGGGAGATGACAGAAGCCTGAATCAGTACCTGCGCTGCCTTCTGAGTGAGACTGGGGACGTATTCTCCTGATGTTGTAGAGTGTGTATCTACAGGATCGTGTTGTCGCAGTGATGTTGGGAGTCAGGGAAGGTTGGCTGTCAAGTGACGCCGAGGTTCCTAGCAGTCAAAATGGGCGTTAGCACAGAGTTGCCAAAGTTGACGTCAAGTCCTGGGTCAGAGAATCTTTTCCCGAAAACACAAGTAGTTCAGTCTTGTCAGGGTTGAGAGATGTCAGTTAGAGATCCGTGCCGCCACCTAGGTGTCTGAGTGAGGGAAGGAGAGAAATAGTTGGGTGTCATCGGTATAGCTGTGGTAGGAGAAGTCATGCGAGCGATTGCTGAGAGACTTGGTGTAGAGCGAGAAGAGAAGGGGACCCAGGACGGAACCCTGAGGAACTCCAGTAATAAGAGGACAAGGTTCCGCACAGATCCTCGCCAGGTTACCCGGTAGGTACGGCCGTTGAGGTAGGACGAGAGCAGAGCCTGAGACACCAAGTTCCTGAAGGGAGGAAATAAGGATCTGGTGGTTGACTGTGTCAAATGCAGCAGAGAGGTCCAGAAGGATGAGGACAGAGAGGCAGCTCTAGCAGTGTGGAGTTGCTCTGAGACAGCAAGGAGAGCAGTCTCTGGAATGGCCTGCTTTCAAGCCTGACTGGTGGGGTCAAGGAGGTTGTTATGGTGGAGGTAGGAGGAGAGTTGGTTAAAAATCGCACGTTCAAGGGTTTTGGACAAAAAGGGAAGAAGAGAGTCTGTAGTCGTTTTCTTCAGAAGGGTTGAGGGTGGGTTTCTTCAGGAGAGGGTTAACTCAGAGAAACCTGCAGTAGAACTCAATGTCAGAGAATTGGGAAAACAGGTGAGGAAAGCCTCACCTGTCTCATCAAGGAGGAGGAAAGGCAGAAGGTCAGGAGCGATAGATTGTAGAAGATGTAATGGAATGGGGTCAAGAGGGCAGGTGGTCGGAAGTGCAGAGGTTACTAGGGTAAGAATTTGGTTAGGACACAGGGGGATGAAAGAGGAAAGTGAGGGCGATAGAGGTGAAGCAAGTGGGACGCAAGTAGTAGGAGGTGGGTTTGAGAAAGCGGAGCGTATGTCAGCTATTTACTTGGTAAAGTAGTTGACAAAGTCTCCCGGAAGAAGGGTGGAGGGGGACTAGGGGGTTCGAGGAGGTTGGTGAAGATCGAAAAATAGTTTTTTGGGGTTAGAAAATGAAGATTAGATTCTGGATTGGTAGAACAAGCTTTTGGGAGCAGAGATAGAAGCATAAAAAGAGGAGAGAAGAGATTGAAATTCAAGCAGGTCATCAGATCGTTTATATTTACACCATCTCCTTTCCAGTGGCACAAAAAGCCTGCCCTTGTCCTTGGCTGTAGCTGCAGCGTTCCAGGCGGGGATGGAGGAGCAGAGGATGGACTCGATGATGGCCGAGTAAAAGTGCACCATCATTGTCTGGCAGGTTGAATTTCTTCAGCTGCCTCAGGAAGAACAACCTCTGCTGAGCCTTCTTGGTAATGGAGCTGATGTTCAGCTCCCACTTGAGGTCCTGGGTGATGATGGAGCCCAGGAAACTGAAGGAATCCAGTGGTGACGGGGGAGTCACCTTGCGTGATGGGGGAAGGTGGGGACTGTTTGAGAAAGCACCGGGCTTCCTGAAATCCACAACCATCTCCACTGTCTTTAGAGCGTTGAGCTCCAGGTTATTCTGGCTGCACCACGACGCCCAGATGGTCAGACTCCCTCCTGTAGGCGGACTCATCCCCACCAGAGATCAGCCCCAATGAGGGGTGGTGTCATCCGCAAACCTCAGGAGCTTGATGGACTGGTGGCTGGAGGTGCAGCTGTTTGTGTACAGGGAGAAGAGCAGAGGGGAAAAGAACGCAGCCTTGGGGGGGAACCGGTGCTGATGTTCCGGGAAGCTGAGTGAAAGTCAGTGAACACCGGAGACAGCTGGTCAGCACAATGCTTCAGGGTGCGGGAGAGACGGAGTTCAGGCCAAATGCCTTACGGGGATTTTGTCTTTTAAAAGAGCCGGTTAACGTCTCTCTCCAACATAGAGAGAGATTTGCTGGGGGGTGGGAGGTAATACAGAGGCGTGAGCCCCTGATGGGCTGGGGGAGGGAGGGTGGGGGACTAGGGCAGGTTGGTGGAGCTTTTGGGGGTGGAATCAGGACATTGAGTTCTACTGCAGATTTGATAGACATTCAGCTCGTCTGCCAGGCGGAGGTCATTCATGGAGTGGGTTTTTTTTGGCTTGCAGTTTGTGAGGCGTTTAAGGCCTCTCCAAACCGAAGCAGAGTCACTTGCTGAGTTTCTCAGAGTAAAGACGTTTAGCATCTCTCACCGCCTTGCTAAACTTGTATTTTGACTCTTAATCACTCATTCAATCACTCTCTCTCTCTCTCTCTCTAAAAGACTATGCATGTGCCACTATTTGTTCTTATGTGGTTTTCTGTGTTAGTCATTTCAAATTCCCCTACCTCTGATGATCAGTTGTGATGGGTAACTTTACATTTTTAATTTTAAATGGCTGCTCTTACTGGGTAACTTTGAGAGGATGTGTGTCAGAACCTTCTCCTCTTCAGGAATCAGGATCAGGAATCAGGTAACATTTATTGCCATAATATGTCAGACATACAAGGAATTTGACTTGGCGGTTGGTGCGTGACAGTAGACTGTACGACAAGACAATAGTGCTCGAGTAATAAAATGAAATATAATGCTAGGGGTGGGGGAGTGGGGAAGGTTGGTGGAGCTGTGGGGGATTGGATCAGGACATTGTCTATCAAATCTGCAGTAGAACTCATTCAGCTCGTCTGCCAGGCGGAGGTCATTCATGGAGTGGGGTTTTTTTGGTTTGTAGTTAGTGAAGTGTTTGAGGCCTCTCCAAAACGAAGAAGAGTCACTTGCTGAGAACTGTTGTTGGAGTTTCTCAGAGTACAGTTGTTTAGCATCTCTCACCGCCTTGCTAAACTTGTATTTTGACTCTGTGTACAAGTCTTTGTCCCCGCTCCTAAATGCCTGATCCTTCTGCAGACGTAGTGTTCTGAGTTCCGCTGTGAACCAGGGTTTGTCGTTTGTTGTTGAAACTCCCCCTGGTGCATGATGGAACACAGCTGTCCTCACAGAAGCCGATGTAAGACGTTACAGCCTCTGTGAACTCATCCAACACAGCAGGTACCTCCACTGTACAGTAACCACGCCCATCTCCCACTCATGTCAGCTCAAAATTGATACATTGAGCTTTTCTCCAACAATGATCTGTCAGTGTGTTAATGACTAGCAGCTTGTCTTATCAATAATATATTTATCCCAGTAATATCATCAAAACTTGTGCTCAAATGCAGTAGTGTGGCCTCAATAGCCCCGCTGTAGTGTGATAAGAGGCCCAACTTGCGCTTTTTGATAGACCCCGAAAGCCGCGAATAATCGAGGCGATGGTGTACTTTTGCGTGGACATACATACATCCTACTCTCACTGCTGTAAAAAGTTAGTCTACTGTATACAAATAAACTTATTAAAATGAACATGGCTTCAGTTTGGTAATGAATATGCTAGGTAATGACAAAGACGTTCCAAAACAACACAACGTTTTATGTTTACGTTTATGTTTCTGGCAGACAATGTTCCCAACCAGCTGCATCCAGGGTCCAGCGGAGCTAGGCGTGCATAGTTTGTTCTCAACTAAATTTAAGTTCTATGTTATATACTTTTGCAAAGAAATGTTGGCACATTGATTTTTTTTTCTCCAAAATTCCCATGGAAACCTCCGCCCCTTTGCAACCCTACTTAACCCCATTGAGAGTCTTTGGCATGTGCTGGAGAAGGCTTTTTGCTACCATCATCAATACAAGATCTTTGTGAGAAATGAATGCAACACTGGATGGAAATAAATCTTGTGACATTGCAGAAGCTTATCAAAAACAATGCCACAGCGAATGCATGCTGTAATCAAATCTAAAGGCGGTCCAACGAAATATTAGTGTGACCCTTTTTTTTGGCCAGGCAGTCTGTAATGCTCATTGCGACAGTTATATACTATAGAATTAGGGTGGAAATCTAAACTTGCAATCACAAACTATTATTTTAAATGAATTGTTGGACATACCTACCTTCAAGTTCTAGGAGGAAATGCTTAATTACAGGAAAGTTGCGTAATTAAACTGCGGCCATCAAGGTAAAAAACAGACTAATTCAATTAATTTAACTGGCTCGTTGACATGAGTGCACGTCTGGCCGTTTTAATTTGCACTGAGGATCTCGCCATCACCTGACTCTGCCCCTGCCTTTGTCCCTGAGGTTCTTCAGGTGTGGCCCTTGCAATCAGGGACAGGAGATGTCGTGCAGCCTCTGTGGCTTCAGGTGCATCGTACTGGAAAGGGATTTTTAGATGTATGAACATGGTAAAAGGGCCTTACAGTGTACTGCACAGGCTGTGTAATGTTTGAGTGTAATCATTTAATCAAAAATAACAAGAAAATGATTAATAACTTTTGCCTCACCGTACCTACATGATACCACTGACTAAGCGAACATATCTATACAGTTAGTAGAGATTCCTCCTTGGGGACCAACATTGGCCCACATGAAAGTGGGGCTTCATGTCAACACAGCAGCCCTCCATGTCGTTCTCAATAAAACACCCCGCGACACTAACAACATGAAAACAGAGTAAAGCGCTGCTGCCAATACAAACTCAGATCGCAAAACTTTTTCGATCCGAGACCAAAACTTTTTGAAATATTTTTACTTACAAACTTTTCTCTCGAAATAATTTTTGGGGTTTGCATAATAAAGACACAAATCTACCTTCATAAAAAAGGCATGTCATTTGTTGTGAAAAAATTCTCATCTTATTTTGCTTTACATCTTGATTTTAAAGTTGTAATATTCAGAGACAATGGGACATTTTTTGAAAAATAAAATATTTCAACAGGACGAAAAATTTTCAGAATAATAAATATGAGAAAACAGTTACGGATTGCTTACATGATTTAGTTATCCAGGAACTTCCCTCAGCCCTTACATGGCATGCACACAGACAAGCACACTTAAAAAGGACTATTATCCTTTAAACTGAATTACCATTAAAATGGAATTATTGATTGTTTTCACTAAAAAAGTAATAACATTTTCACCCATACTCAGTCATAATTCTGCAGAACATCCTTTGATACAGATCTCAACATACTTTAATGTACACAACACCGTTTTTGTTGAAGATATAATGCTCTGTATCGTTTAATACCTTCCATCAAAGAAGAAGAACTTTCCCTTGCCATTCTTCTCTCCGTGGGCAAAGTGTCCTTCAAAACGATCACTGGATGAATAGGTCACAGTGCAGAACCCATGGAGCTGATCGTCTTCATCCAATGGACCTAAACCATAATGCAACTGTTAGTATTCTGAAAGTCTGTCTAAATACATACAGACAAACCTTAGGTCACAGGGGGTGGGGGGTACTGATCAGACACCCACACACATAAATAAAGGCGTCTCGACCACGGATGAATTCTCTCAATTGGGAATTTACTTTGGACAGAAATAAACTAACAGAGACTCCATAAAGGATGTAGTTAGCAGACCAATCGTAGCCTCGCGGGCTGCAGGAGGCAGCATAAACTAGGCTTAACGGTGGTAATAGTTTATGGTGGTTACATCTGATGGTGGTTGTTCCTGCAGTGTTGCTGCCGTACACCTGGCTTAATACTCTCAATATTTTAGTAATTTATGTTGTATGAATTGAACGTATTTTGCATCTTTCACGTTCTTCATTTTGTACACATAACTATCTATTGTAGCCTGATAGTGGGATCCCTCCTCTGCAGTTATCCTTAGGGTTTCTTCTTTTCTTTTCTTTTTAAATTGTCAGTGCCACCTGAGAAACGTGTGACAAAGTGTAACATTGATTCTTTTAGCTTTGCATTAGTCTCTATCAACTCTTAACTCTGAAATATCTGACAGCAAATACTCTCAAGCTTCCCTCATTTTAGCATTTCTACAAATATTTTTCTGAACCCACAATAGACATGAAAAGGTTGCACAGGTCACGGGCCACATACATTGTGTACATGATATAAGGAAAATCTTAAAATCGTGAGCTGGAGGCTTTTAGAAATCCGGGGCAGCAATTGCTTGAGGTTTGTTAATCAAACATGTCTTTGAGAGAAACTATTGATCATATTGGTGGCTTTTACCAGAACCCAATATAACAGCTAATATTGCAGGAGGTGCGAACCGAAGGTAAATGGTATTACGCAGTTTTTATTCATCCACTTCTCCGAACTGAAACGACTGTATTTGGGGAAAATACATCGGGATCGAACCGTTCACGTCGGTACGTGAGATCCAAAGTATCAAAAGCAAAACCGTAATCCGAGCTCACGTGGGGCTAACCGGGAAACTTCCATGTGAGCATTCGGGTTTACATGCCGCGCCTCGTCAGAGGGAACCAGCAGCGGGACGCTGCTACCACACAGGCCGCCCTGACGAGCACGTCAGCGGACTTCCGAAGTAAATAAAGCCCGTGGCGCCGTAAAGTGAGCGGGCGGGCCCAGCGACGGAGTCCGCGGAAGGAGACCCACGGAAGGCTGGATCGTAACGTCATATCAATCGAGACATATCGTGCACACTGTAATTCGTGGCTTCCCGCGGAACGCAGTGAGAGGAAGACGTTTCTCACCTTCCACGACCTCCTCCACGGTTTCATCCTCGCTGTCCATGAGAGCTGCTGCGCACCCTCCGCGCCGCGGCGACGACTGCCTCTCCTGCCGCTATCGTGGCGTGATTAGCGCGAAGAGACACCGGGTCGCTCTTCCTGTCCGGACTTCTTCCCCTGACTCTCAAGATAACGTTCAGAACGGACGGAAATTGACACAAGCTATCAATATGATCTCGCGGGTATGCAGTCATTGTTAAATACTTATATTTTGTGATGATTGGCTTTTGTTGTGGCAGGGTAGGTGTGGTCGTTAAATATTCATTGAGCTGATGGCAGGTTCCTGAGGCTCGGTAGAGCCCTCATCTCTTGTACTGTACTGAACACTGTTGTTTCCAGTCAAAGGTTCCTTGAAAAAGAATAACGGGCGTAGAGCAAATCTTTACAAAACATCCGTTTAGATGCTCCCCTTTGTTCACCAGCAAATGGAAAAAGCTGCCCACAGAGACTGATTTAAACTAAAACAAAGAAAAGAAAGAGACAATTCATTGCTGAGGCACAGCTATGTATTCATGTAGTTTCAAGATGGTTCAGTGGAATAATCGTGGGCCAGACAACATGTATCAATATTAAGGACCAGAAAGCTAACCTGTAAAAACTGTGATGGAAAATTATATTCACGCCCTGTGTGCGTCTTTTTGTGGTTAAAATAAAGAATATAAAAAAACAGAAGTTGTGTTTTGTATGACTATTTAAAATTCACCATAATTGTGCGAAAGTCCTTTTTTTCTCCTCAAAATAAGAGCTATACAAAAACCGGAGGAGATTGACACAATTTGTAATTCTGGTGGTTCTATTTCATCCTTACTGACCGCCAGAGGCAGTGCTGCACACGGGATTATCTCGCTCATGGGCAGGTCGAGTCTTTATACCTGAGGTCACTGGCTGTTTCTCAAAGTCGCCGGGCTGCATCCTTAAGGACGCATTTGTCGACCGCATACGTCACTTCCGCTGCGACTCGGCTGCGACTTGCCTGTCCCAATCTGTTGGCTCCTTCGAACGCGCTCGAGGGACGCACCCTCCAAGAGCCGGAGGGCACATCTGAGGATTAAAGGCCGGCGCATGCTTCTGCGTCTGCGTCTTTATGCACCGTTGCGTCGACGCACTCGTTTCAATTCATGGTTCTGTAAGGCTTCCGTGTGTTGCAGAGCAATTCACCTCCAAAACAAAAGGTGGAGTAACGTGTTTTGTTGAAGACGACCTAGAGAGTCACGTCTTTGTGTGTGGAAGTCGTTGGTTTGTTTACTTTATTTATCATAGACTTTATTGCCCCGTGCATCGCCACTGCTGCTTTTCATCATGGACACATTTGTCCCGTATTTTCCTCCACAACTTTGTTCCCCTCGAACCGACGTTTGCAGAGATCTCCCTCCATGAATCAGAGGCCATCCGTGCGTCCTTATAGTCCGCCAATGACGGCTTGTATAAGCGGCCATATTTACGCATTTCTTCCGACAAAAGCTCTTCAATCTGATCCGTTCTCTCCATCGCTCTAAAAACGCAGAATCATAAATTAGCCTTTAATGTTGACGCTGGTGATCCGACAGCGCGGAAGCGTTCACTTTTAAATGTAATAAGTAATAGAATTCCCTCAAATACCTACCAATAGAAATGTTATATTATAATATATAACATCATATCTTAGTTTATCAAATCACTATTACGTGACGTGACGTTGGTAACCAATGTCATGTGACGGTTTTACATATAGTTTATACTTCATATTATGGACAGAAGTGGATCAAAGTGAGCATATGTAGACAAGTTATGAACCTGACATATCACTAAGTCAGTGATACAGAATAAATACACAAAAAATGCTTGCATTGCTCCTTTTGTTTTGTGGTGTGATTATAAACTAACGTTACATTTAGTTGTGTTTTATGTTGCCAGGAGGAAACCGCATCAAGCTGAAGAACGATGTGTGTGTGTGTTGACATAAAGCCACTGTAGCGTGGACATAGTCTAATATTTTACAGTTGAAATAGCTTGTAGCCTATTACAAGAAAAAAAGAAAAAGCCCTTGCATATGTGGCTGAGTGGCTCCGCTCACTTCTATCTCTCCATTTTTGGGGTGTTCTAAATCAGGTGGCTTTCCATCTATGCTCCCCCTCCCACTGTGTCACCAAGCTGTCGTTTTGATCACAGGGCGGGGCCGCTAAGATTATATGTATGAGCGGATCATCCACTACAGGTGTGTCTTCCTACCTCCTCTCGGGGTAGACTTTGGCGTCAGCAGTGTGGCGTGGCTGTTGCGGGGTCCAGTGAGGCTCAACTTGTCAGGTCGTGGTGGTTTTAGACTTTTAGGTACGTTTCTGGCAATGTTGGTTATAGTTCGGCATTGTTAGCTGATTGGTGGTAGCTGAAGCCCTCTGTTTGCGATAGTCAGCCGGTTGTCTGGCTGAAGGTTGCGGCTGAGGGAGCGTGGCTGCCGCATTGTGTGTGTGTGTGGCGTCCCATGTGCTGCACAGACCATGTGTGGTGTCTCTCCATTCCGCGTCATCGACGGCATCTGCTCGTCTGCCGACTGAGGTTGGGTGTGTGTGTGGGCCGGCCTCTTGGCCAATATTGCGTTGCTAATGGTTGCTTTTCTTTTGATGAACCGGAGCTGTTGGTGCCACTGGTGGGAGTGCCTGGCTGATCCCGGTGGTGGCGGTTCCCTTCATTTTTCTGTAGTGCACCTCGGTGTCAGTAGTTGGTGTGTTTTCGTTTTGTTTTTGTTGGGCGAGGGAAAGCAGGTGTTTTTTCCGGTTGGACAACACCTCTGCTGTGTTTTGACGACAATATCAGGGGGCAACAGATTTGCGGAACTGATTACGCTGATCTTTGTGCCTTCTTGCCTGACCAGCCTTCGAGCAATAACCCAGCCAGGAGTGGCTACTGCATCCAGAAGTAATGCCGACCCACTGCCCCACCGGTTCTCCCTGACTGAGAGGACTACCGCTCCGGGTCAAGATGCTCTGGCTCAAACGTGGCCAGAGGATCCTCAGTGTGTGTGTGTGTGTTTGTTTTTTTTACAACAAAAGAAACCTCTTGTTGCAGCTGAAAGGCCGGGTTTGGCATCTCAATCCCTACCGCCTTCAACTATGGACCTGGCCACGAGAAGACCCGACTGGGTGCTAGGTGGTTGCATAAAATCGGTCCGACTATTCTGAATCCGAGGGCGCAATGTACCCGCCTGAGACCTGCCGTTCTGAACAGGACCCCGGTGCAAGGCCTGCTGTACTTGAGTTTCAACAGTTCCTCCTTTATAAGGGCCAGTCTCCCTCTACCCTTGGAGTACAGACGGCCCCATTTCGGGGCAAGACAAAAAGTCTTGGCTACAAAACTTATCCATTTGAAAATTCTCCAAACACAACAACTCCGACAAGCACTAACAGAGTTAGAACATTTTACAAAATGTTGCACATTCCGGCGCATTTGTACAAACATCGGTCGTAGCTAGAAGCCATCAATGAAAAACGCTATGTCAAATCACTATTGCCTCAGTGCGCGTATCGCTTTAAGAAAGTCACATGACCGATACGGCTGCTGTTTTGCCTATCACCGAGGCGCCAAACTGTCAACGGGATGCATCTCTTCCGGCTGTCCCTACAATTTTTGTGCACACCACCCTCATCTGTGCCATGTGAGCGTGTGAGCTGGAGAACTTGCGTTAAAGAAACGTAATCATAACTTTTAATATATAATACAATACAATAACTTAAATTATATTATTGTAGGCTACATACTACGTCATTAAATCATGTCAGTTGAGCCTGTCAACTAGGTTGCCTGTAATGATTTCTACGATCCAGCAGGTGTCAGTATTGAGCAACACCGTGACATAGTACTGACACAGTATCAATACAGTTTGTGCCGCAATATTTCATGAGGCCTCATCTACCCATCACTATAAATCATAAATGTTCCGTACCTTTGCTGTTCTCAATGAAGACATGAATTTATTCCTGTTTTTTCCAAATGCAGTACGACAATCAGGTCAAAAATAGTCAAGCATGTACATCAGCCAACGCACAAATGTGACTTCACGATCCGGCGGAAACTGGATGTCAGGTCCTCCTCTATATCCTGTAGTTGATTGCTGATCAGCAGCAGGTGTGTGGCACTGCAACTCCACCAACAGGACTCACAAGGAGGGGTTTGTGACATCTACGCTCTACATGTTTGGACTGATTGGCTGGCGCTCTTCTCCATGTGGGGTTACTCGGATCCAATATGCCCCGATGTTTAAAAAGAGGGGTTGAACTTCCAAAATCGACCTCCCACAACCTTAGATCTCAGAAAATCAAGTTTCCAGCAAATGTTGTGAGAACTGTACTAAGGCCTCTCCAGATGGTGTTTAGTTCACTCTATCAATGCAAAAACATTGAACAAATACTGTCCAAACACTGGTCTATGACAGTTTTCAGCTTGGTATCTCAATTTTGTTATAGGGCTTGGATTGCCTGTAAGTGATTTGTTTTCAGGCGATTCTCAAAAAAAATCAGTGTGCCATGTTAATTTATTTCTTAACCAATAACAGCAATTTACACATCAGAACATACTGTCTGTATTCCTTTTTATCCAGACAGAAAAAATGTCAAGATAGACAAAAGCTCCAGAATTTTGCCCCTTTTTATCATGAGTATGCCATTGATAGTTTTTAGCTTGGTATCTCAATTTTCTTATAGGGGTTGGATTCCCTGTAAGTGATACTTCACCATTGTACACAATGCAACTAGGCAACTAGTGGAGGTGGCCAGGTGCTCAGTGTTGCCAGATTGAAATGTTCACCATTTCCAGCAACACTTTTGCGTTTGAGATGTCTCAAACTCTAGCCGTTTTGGCTCTATGGTAACAGTATTTCCCTTCAGTGTTACCATAGAGCCTTTTCTAGGCTGGATGAGACAGTCTGTTACAGTTGTCTTCTCAAAACACATCTGCAATAATAAACTCATTGCCGGGTTCTCAAGCTGACAAACAAAAGGGGAAATGCTGTTGGGATGTCACATACATCATCCAGGACAATCCGTTGCTCAATAACTGCCGATGCCTTTTGTTGTTTGAGTTGAGCGGCCCGTTCCAACATCTTCAACAACTAAGTATTGAGTTTAAGTTTAACTCCCTTGACACCTCTGGGTCTGTCTACAACAAAACAAGCATTAAGAGATTGTTTTCTTCCCATTCTATGACAATACAATTTAAAAGTCAAAATACATTTTTGGTCAGTACATTTTCATCCCGATTTTAAAACTAAAATATACCCCTTTTATACCAGTGGCATAAGAATGTATGACCAGATTAACTGTT